GGGTCTCAAACCCTCGAACCATGGGATCATGACCTGAGCCAAGTCGGATGCTTAGCCAACTGAGCCACCCAGGCACCCCACTCCCCCAATAACTTACATTTTCAATATCACATTTTACATCTTCTCAACTTATTATTATAACTCTAAGAATTACAGAATATATTTTTATTACTTTGTCTTTTAACTTAAAAGGGATTAATCTAGTGGCACCTGGGTAGCTCAGTCAGTTAAGCATCCGACTCTTGATGTTGGCTCAAGTATGATCTCAAGTTTGTGAGTTTGAACCCTGCGTCAGGCTCTGTACTATGTCAGCATGGAGACCACCTGGAATTCTCTCTCCCTTTCTCTTACCCCTACCCCACTCATGCTAGCTTGCTCTCTCTCAAAATAAAGAAATAATTTTATTTAAAAAAGGGAATTAATCTACTTACATCTGTCTTTCCAGTGAGATTTATTCTTCCTTATGTTTTCCTGTTACTAATTAGCATCCTTTTGTTTCAGCTTTAAAAATTCCCTTTAATATTTCTTATAAGGCTGGTTTAGTGATGATTAACTCCTCCATTAGCTTTTGCTGTTCTGGAAAACTCTTATAAAAGAGTATAAACTTTTATACTCTAAACTTTGCTGAAGAGAGTTCTTTGTTGGAAGATTTTTTTTCTTCAAGCACTCTGAATACATCTCACCACCTCCTTCTGGCCTCAGTTTCTGCTGAAAAATCTACGGATAGTCTTATGGGGCTTCCCTTGCATACATATAAGGGGAGCTGTTTTGCTCTTGCTGCTTTTAAGAGTCTCTCCTGGTCTTTAACTTTTGATAGTTTATTTTCACTTTTTTTCTCCAAGTTTTTATTTGAATTCCAGTTAGTTAACATACAGTACAATTGACATTTTAATTATGTGTCTTGGTGTGAACTCTGGGTTCATCTTATTTGGAACTTTCTGGGTTGCCTGGATCTGGATATCTGTTTCCTTCCCTAGGTTTGGGAAGTTTTCAGTCATTACTTCTTCCAGTTAATTTTTCTGTCCCTTTTTCATTTTGGGACCCCTATAAAATGAATGTCAGTCCCCTTAATGTCATCCAATAAGCTATCTTCACTTTTTTCATTTTGCTGCTCTGACTGGGGAAGTTCTCCTACCTTGTCAAGTTCAGTTCACTTGTATATTTTTCAGTTCAGTTATTGTTATTCCTCAGCTCTTTGACTTCTATTTAGTATTAGATTTTTTTTTGTTGAAATTCTGTGTTCATTCTTCTGAGTTTGGTGGGCATCTTTATGACTATTACTTTGAACTCTATATCAGGTATTTCATTAGTTTTTTTCCTGAGGTTGTGTCTTATTCTTACATTTGGAACATAACCCTTTGTTCATTTTGCTTGTTGATTCTGTTAGTTTCTGTGCATTAGATGAAATAACTCCCAGTCTTGAATAAATGGCCTTGTATAGGAGATCAACTTTGTCATTCAAACCTACCCTAGCTCTTAGCGGTCTCACAAACCTCTGTGATTGTTTAGGCAGTCTATTATATTCTTAATGCTTCCCAGCAGTTGGAGATATGCCAAGACTTGTCATGTCCCAAAGGGAAGGATCGAAGCACCTAGATTCAGGCTGATTGGAAGCCAGACCCTCAGGCAGCAGCTTTTAAAATTAAATACGTAGGGGCGCCTGGGTGGCTCAGTCAGTTAAACATCTGACTTTGGCTCAGGTCATGACCTTGCAGTTTTTGAGTTCCAGCCCCATATAGGGTTATGTGCTGATAGTTTGGATGGAGCCTGCCTCCCTCCCTGCCCCTCCCCCACTCACAATTTCTCTCTCAAAATAAACATTAAAAATTTTTTTTAAATCAAATATATATAGTTCTGTGAGACCACAAGCATAGGCACCACTGGCCACCAGAACCAAGTTATTCTAAGGTGCTTCCTGGGTTGCAACAGCAAAATTCAGGGCTCCAGAAGAATGTCTACACTCTATTTCTAGGAGATACTGGCAAGCTATAACAAGGCAGAGGGAGAGTGTAAAGGTAGTGTCTACCAGCCCAAGTTCCCTGAAAACAACTCTGCAGATCCCAGGTATGTTCCAAACCCAGAGCCTTCCCTCAGTCTGAAGCTTAACAACAAGCAAATCCACCTCTTTCACAGAAAGACTGTGGGTGGTAGCCTGCCAGGATTCATCTCTGATTGTTATAGTTCATTGGATGCAGGAACATAAGCTCCTCTGGCCTCCAAAGCCAAGTGAATAAGGGGAACACCTTGGCAGCAGATGTAAAAATTAGGACACCAGCTATGTGTAAAAACTCCCCTCTGGGAGATACTGGTGCTGTGGAGTGTGGTAGGGGGAGAGCATGAAGATGATGCTCACCAGTCTGTCCCTGAGAAGTGTTGTAGTAGGCTCTTAAAAATGTGTGTTAAATTAGGTGCCTGTCCCGTAGGGCAGCACTTTAAGAGACATTTCTAAGATTGCTAGTCTTTTTTTTTTTTTTTTTTCCCTCTCCTTAAAGTAGCTTCACCCTCAATGCAGGGCTTGAACTCAAGACCCTGGGATCAAAACCTGAACTGAGATGAAGAACTGGATGATTAACTGATTCAGGTGCCTCTCAGATCACTAGTCTTATGGATATTAGCCCTCTTTGTTTACAAAACTGTGTCTCTTGGGTGCAGGTCTTAAAAGTTGGGAGTACCTGATGTGCAGTTCAACTCCTTCACTCCTCAGGGAGATGCTCTAAGTTTTGACTTCACCCCTAAATTAGCTTTATGGTGAGACTGAGTCCCAGTCTGAGACCCACTTTGATGTGGTTTTCTTCTCATTTGCCTGATACATGGTCCTTGCTCAGCCAGACATTAGGGTTTTTTCAGAGCAAATGTTCCAGGTAGAGCTGAAGGCTCCATGTGTTCATGGGAGAGGGCAGTTCAGGATCTTCCTACATCACCATTTTGAACCAGAGGCCCCCAGAGCCCCGCATTTTCCTTTTTAAATTCTGTTGTTCTTGAACTCTTCTGCTAAATGTTTTTTTTTTTTTTTTTTTTTTTTTTTTTTTTTTTTTTTTTTTTTTTTTTTTTTTTTTTTTTTTTTTTTTTTTTTTTTTTTAATATTCCTAAAAGCCTAGATCCTATCAGTCAAAGAATTATAGGGGCTTACAATGAACATTAACAGTTGACAAGGATAGAGTGCTTACTCCTGTCAAGACATTATGTGAATCATGTAAGATGTCAACATTGTTATTACCCCCATTTTACACTTGACAATGAGACCAAATCTAAATGGAAGGGCCAGGAATCCAAATCTGACTCAAAACACTTAGTGCAAAATTAAAATGTCAAAAGTTGTCTTGCACTAAGGCAGCTGTTACAAAGCTGGGTGAGTCGTTCCGCTGCAGCCTGCTCTGTTGTGCAATCTGTACTGTCAAACTTGGGAAATGGCAATAGGAAACCCCCAGTACTCTTTAACCCTAGAGATTCAGCCACCATTCATTTACATAGCTGAATTTTCATCAGCCTTGGAGTTCTCTCCCTGATTTCTGTAATGTTTTCTGCTTAAAGTACACAATTAAAAGCCACCAAATCCCAAAAAGGTGGTACCTTCCTTAAATATGGTAAAAGTAATTACCCTTGACGGTTAATCCCCTAACGGGAATTCTAGCATTTCAGTGTTTAAAGAGAAAACCAATATTTACCAAACTCATACCTCCAATCATTATGTTCTCAGTATTATCATCCCAGTCACAGAAATACCAACCCTTTCAACTGTTCTTATACAGCATATGGTTCCTTCAACATTTGTACGAGTATTTACAGACCATTTATGAAGCATAGGAGCATTGTGCTGGAGGATATGCAATCTTCAGAAAGAGTTCTCATCCTCAAGGAGGTTTTAGCCTAGAAGAATATTCCAGAAATACTCCACATGTGCAAAAATATATACAAGGATACTCACTGTTTGTACAACAGTCCAAATCTATCAACAGGGGAAATGGTTAAACAATTTTAGCCCAGTTATAACTAGGAAACACTATGTAGTTGTTAAAAGGTTAACTCTGGATGTGAAAATGTAATATAGCCACATATACAAAAAGCATTCTCCTAAACTCTACCTGTATATGGAAGTATATACAAAGCTAAAGATCTGGAAGGATACATAACACACCAACTGGAGAGTAAAGCTAGACCGGGGAATTCAGGGTGCAATGGAGAGATGAGTATGACTTATATAAGAATGACTAATATAAAATCTACTTTGCTTACAATATTTTCACAGGTACCTTTTGAACTCCTGACAAACTCCACTGAGGGGTGACATGCTAAATAATTTTGCTAACTACTGTTCACAGTTCCTAACTCCAACTTCTTAAGAGACAGAAAATAGGATAGAATGAACTCTCCCCACCTGTGATAAGCAAACTTTCTTGGACAATAATCAATTCAGGAAAACTGTTTCTAGGTCATCATTTCTTCCCCATTCAAAACAAAAGCCACTTTACTGAGTCCCATAGGACATTTAAAAAATGCATATTTTTCAATCCACATTACTCCCTTCACTACAGACCATATTTGTCTACTTTTTGCAGACTGCTGAAAGTTTGGGAGACTAGAAAGAACAATCTATCTCCACACTCAGAAGGCACAATAGGCATTAACACGTCAACAGTTCTGCAAGTCCTCAAAGAAAGAAATGTTGGATTTTGTTAGCTTAGAGCATTCTTCCTTGATCACAGAATACCTTTAACGGCAGCCTATTTAGAACATTAGCTGGGAAAGACTAAACTAAAATTAACACTTTCTAGGCATATATCAACAAAAAGTGGCTTTCTAAATTTTCACCCTAAAAATGAGACTACAAGTTATTTTGCACATCTAGGTCAGTACTCTAGATCAGTATTACCAAGCCAAAGGGCTCATTCATTACTGCTCTGGATGAACAAGGTTTCTCTTTAGCAACTTTGTAATAACACAAAATTTTATTGTGGGTAAAGAAGCATTTTGAAAAAAACATGACCAATAAACAGATTTACCTCCTGCTTCTAACTGAACTCCTGGAGTCAAGTGAAGAAATTCTGGTTTCATGCTTACTCGGGAGCCAGAAATAAAACCAACCACAAATTCAGAATGTTCCTCAGCCATTTCAACCTAAAAGAAATATAATATAGATTATAAGACTACAAGCAAAAACTCAATTCTATTCATGAATAAGAAATGTCTGCTATTTTATACATGTCTTGTCTCACTTGATATTAAACTCAATATATCTACAACAGGTATTGTATGACTCTACATAGAATCTAGTAAGACCCTGAGGTAACCCCTTCTAATCAATCATACCTTAGAACATTACAAAATCCTATACTGTGTGCATCTAAAATCGAGGTGCTGCGTGATCACACTTGAGAACCCACCTACCTCTAGAAAGGATATGTGGAAAGTATTCTAGAATACGTTTATGATGATATGAAACCAAACTGAAGACTAATTCCTACCTACACAGGATACTACTCTACATCCAGATACCCGCCATATTGTCAAGTGCCAAAGAAATCTCATGTACATTTGCCAATAACTGATCTCCAGTTTCTACATCATTTCCTCACATTTCCAGAAGGCTCTTCCATGAGTCTCACACTGTTCCATTCGTGCCACCGAGTATTACCACCTATCAAGCTATGTCTTGTCCTTGAGGCAGACCCAGAATCTCAGTGCCAATTATTAGCACTGATTCATGGACCCTCTGCTATGAGATCTGGGAAATCATATTTAAGTTCAATATAGGGGTGGGGTTAAAACCTGGCCCTAGAGCCATATGATTTCTTCACAGTTCCAGTGTCTGAAATAACATAATAAATTCCCACATAAAAATTAACATTTTATTAAAATTTCTATTACTTATAAAAGTAATAGTCTTTAACATATCTATAAAGGAAGTTTTTTTTTGGGGGGGGGGTGCCTTGGTGGCTCAGTCAGGTAAGTGGCTGACCTTAGCTCAGGTCATGATCTCACAGTTCGTGGGTTCAAGACCTGCATCAGGCTCTGTGATGACAGCTCAGAGCCTGGAGCCTGCTTTGGATTCTGTGGCTCCCTCTCTCTCTGACCCTCCCCCACTCACACTCTCTTTCTCTCTTTCTCAAAAATAAACATTAAACTTTTTTTTTTTTAAATAAAGGGAGCTTTTTAAAATTTCTTCTTTTTTCTTTTGAGAGAGAGCACAAGCAGAGGAGAGGCAGAGAAAGGAGACAGAATCTGAGGGCCCAGGCTCTGAGCTATCAGCACAGAGCCTGATGCGGGGCTCTAACTCACAGAATGTGAGATCATGACCTAAGCAGAAGTCAGATGCTTAACTGAGTCACCCAGGGTGCCCCTTTAAAGGAACTTTTTTTTTGTTTTGTTTTGTTTTTTTTTTTACAAATAGTTTACTGTCAAGTTGGTTTCCATATAACACCCAGTGCTCATCCCCACATAAAGGAACTTTTTAACTAGATAATTATCCATCCCATTTTATTCTGGTGCGCAGGGGTGGGAATCAGGTATTAACATACGGTGTTATAAGAACTTTCAAAAATGGGGGAGTTACTGGAGAAAACAGTATGTCTGAACTCTAGTGTAGAGCATTCCCACACAATACCCATCAACAGCAAAGACTGAAGAAGATAGAAGTATGTCATTTGGGATGCTGTCAGGAGAATGAGAATGTGCATGTCTGTGGGACTTAGGAGATTCTGAGAAACTGCAAGCCTGCAAGAAGCCCTTCAATTTCAACTTACGGCAAAATGAAAACAACTCTATCTTAAAGAGTAGGTAAGGATAGGTAGATAATTTCAGACGTTTTCTTCCCCTGTAACTTCTAGCACAACAGCCTGGGTCCTCTGTCACCACAGCCATCTGTCACTTACCGCTGCTTTCGTGTAGCTGCCTGTAGCCAAGGAGCCAGCAGAGCTCATTTCTGCGATGAGGAGGCACCCCCGGTGCAAAGGCAGGCCTACTTCCCTCAGGCCTCTCACGACCCCTGAACCTGGCACCACATGAGCATTGACCAGATCTGCCCAGGAAGCTATTTTAAAGATACCACCTGAGAAGGTTTAAAAAAAAAAAAAAAAAAAAGGTCAATTTTCAAATAAAAACCACTAACTTTTTGCCCAACCAACTACAGTATGAAATAATCTCACAGTAACATGCTAGTGTCCTAGTGAAGCACTTCAAAAATGCCAGTGCTCATTACTTCCCTCTGTGAAGAACCATTCAGCTGGTAACTAGCTCTTTCTCAAAGAGCCTGAGAAAAGGGTCTTTCAATTTCTGCACTTAGTTTATCAGTAACACTGATTAAGACTGGTTTTCCTTACAGGCTGACTTCAGACCACCAATAAAACCTATGCAATTAGAAGTGGGAGTGCCTGGGTGGCTCAGTCAGCACTTGGTTTTGACTCAGGTCATGATCTCATGGTTCGTGAGATTGAGCCCTGCGTTGGCAGAGCAGACCTTGCTTAGGATTCTCTCTCTGCCCCTCCCCTACTCTCTCTCACACATACAAAATAAACTAAAAAAAAAAACAAACAAAAAAAATGGGACTAGTGAAGATGGGCATTTGAGGTCAAAGACATCAACATTCTGAAATTCTTCAAGATGACAAATTTTCATTCTCGAGGAATTTCACAGCAACTTTACCATCTCTCAAAAGTTCTACCTGTTCCTTAGATTTCTTAATTTCAGCAGGCAACTGTATTCATTTTAAAAGCTGACAGAGATACCCCTAATTAATTTCTGAAAAAACTGTATGCAAACCTGTGAAGTTTGTGTAACTTATATCAGTCAAAAAACTAAGCAATGTTGGGGCGCCTGGGTGGCTTAGTCGGTTAAGCTTCTGACTTTCGCTTAGGTCATGATCTCGCGGTTCGTGGGTTCGAGCCCCGCGTCGGGCTCTGTGCTGACTGCCAGCTCAGAGCCTGGAGCCCGTTTCAGTTTGTGACTCCCTCTCTCTCTGACCCTCCCCTGCTCACGCTGTCTCTCTTTCTCTCCTAGAAATAAATAAAACCTTTAAAAAAAAATTTAAAAAAAAAACTAAGCAATGTGATGCCAGTAAACATCTTTTTTTTTAAGCTGATTTATTTCAAGAGAAAGAGTGTGCAAGCGGGGAGGGGCAAAGAGAGAGGAAGAGTGAGAATTCCAGGCAGGCTCCACACTGTCAGCACAGAGCCCAATGTGGGGCTTGAAACCACAAACTGTAAGTTCATGATCTGAGCTGAAATCAAGAGTCAGACACTTAACCCACTGAGCCACCCATGAGCCCCCTTTTTAAAAAAAATTTTAATGTCTATTTTTGAGAGAGAGAGAGAGAATGAGCAAGGGAGGAGCAGACACAGAGGGAGACACAGAATCCGAAGCAGGCTCCAGGTTCCAATCTGTCAGTACAGAGTCTGACATGGGGCTCAAACCCATGAACTGTAAGATCATAACCTGAAGTTGGACGCTCAACCGACTGAGCCACCCAGGCGCTCCGATACAACATCATAAAGCACAGGAAGCAGTCACAGACAAATCTATCCTAAAGAAATAACTTAAGCATATACATGTATTACTTTAAGAAACACTTAGCTCTACAGATGCAGATAAGCATTAACCTTTTAAAAGATATTTATCTTAGTTAAGCAAAAAAAGCTGTCATATACAATGATAGAAACTTGCATAAAATAATGGATAGAAAATAGTTTTTCTTTCTCAACCACTACCTACCCGGCGTTGAGTTCCTATTTAACAACCAAAAAAGTACACCAACATATCTTTTTTTTGCCAAAGGTAAATGTTACAACTTTACACTTCTATTTCATTGTCTCCTATACCTGCAATTTTCATCTTTCAAATATTTAGGACTCTGTGTGTTCTCCAGCACCAACATCTGCCATTTCTGTCTGCCTAGAACCTGTATCCCCTGCTTCTGGCCTCAGCACACCCATTTTCTATGGGGAAACTACCTTTGACCACACTTTGGTTCAAAAAATTTACAGTTAACAACCTAACATCACCAGAAGTGGGGCATATATACCAAGCTAATGAAGGTACTCTATAACTCATGCCTGAGTGATGACTTTGGGGTAAGGCATGAGGAGTGTGTCTACCTGAGACAGAAGTCAAGAGAGGAGAAAGTACCGCTAAGAAATAGCAAGAAGGCTGGGTGCCTGGGTGGCTTAGTCGGTTAAGCGTCCGACTTTCGCTTAGGTCATGATCTTGCGGTTTGTGGGTTCGAGCCCCGCGTCGGGCTCTGTGCTGACTGCCAGCTCAGAGCCTGGAGCCTGTTTCAGTCTGTGACCCCCTCTCTCTCTGACCCTCCCCTGCTCACGCTGTCTCTCTCTCTCTCTCTCCTAGAAATTAAAAAACAACAACAAAAAAACATTAAAAAAAAGAAATAGCAAGAAGGCAAGTCCAAAGACTTGTACTTGAGCTCCTAGATTCAGCCGTACTTGAGAGACTGCTGTACGGCTGGACTTTCAGTGATGTGAGGCAGTGCATTTCCTTTTGTTCTTCAGGCAGCTGGAGCTAAATACGTATTTTTGTAGAATCCTAAATAATACTTACCTTCGTACTGTTTTTTTACTGTGTTTCCTATATCTGCAAATTTCCGGTCTTCAAATATTAAGAATTCATGTCGTTTTGCCAGAGTTGCTAACTCCTTCATCATATCCAGAGTAAAGTCATTCAAAATGTCTACGTGAGTCTTGAGCATGCAGATGCTGGGTCCCAAAGTATCAGCTAGCTGCAACAGCTCTCTAGCCTCTGAAATATCTGCAGACAGACACAGATTGCTCTCTTTCTTTTGCATAAGCCTGAGGAGCTTTGCTGCAACTGGGTGGATCCTGGGTAGCTCTGCACGTGCACCAAAGCTGAGTTCCCCGGGAGCTTTGTTTACAGAAAGGAGAGAACCATCACGATTCGCTGCTACAAAAACATTCTCCTGAATAAATCTCTTCACTCTCCCGACCATCTCCGCATCAATTTTTTTCTGTCGCTCAAGAATCTCCAGCATTTTGGACAATGTACACACTGAGTGAAGATGGATACCATGTGCCTGCAACTTGTCTTTGCCTCCTTGCTCTCTGTCCAGCAGCACTATGGCGTCAGTGACCTTCAAACCCTCCTTCTGAAGAACTTCAACAGTTTCCAAAACACTAGATCCACTGGTAACGACATCTTCAATGATCAAACAGGTTTCTCCTGGGTTAATAGCTCCTTCTACAAGACGCTTAGTACCTAGAAGAAAAATGATTTCAATTTAAAATGATAGATTCTGGCCAACTCAAGGTGTATCTTGCATTATAAATTTGGCATGTATTTATGAAAAGGTGGATGATCTAAACCTTATTTTCTGATAATTTACTTTAGAGCTATTTAAGCTTTATTTCTGACAAACCTTCAATGAGCCGTGACACCATTTTGTTCATCGTCCCTGTATCTGAAAACTGTCAAAGTTGCATATATAGAATATTTACAGTAAAACTAGTAAATTACTTTATGGTGTAAATAAATACCACTTAACAGGTCTGCGATCAAAATTTCAAATATGGGGTTTCTTAATGCAAGACAACCTAGATCAAGAAAAGTTATGAAATAATAACTGAATACCATCAATGAAATCATTCCTTTTTCCATCAACAAACAAGTTCATTACTCAAGATCAGTCAAATAACTAGCCTTTCAAGGAAATAAATTTAGGAAAAAAATATTCAGCAACGATTTAAATCCATCACTACAACTTCACGAATATACAATGTAATGTGAATGAATGTACTTCTCTACTCCAACCCTCACTATAGATTACTTTCAGATAATCTACAATATGGTAAGTATCTAAGGCTATAGACGTTATAGACTCATTTTATGGTTTCTACTACCAAATTTGTCTTACTTTGAAGCCTAAGAATTGGTGAGCAATTTGCCTAATGTTTGAGTTTTATCACAGGTACCATCCTTGTTCTTCCCCATTCCTTTCCTCCCCTTGAAATGGCAAGCTGAACTGAAACAGCTTAGACTAGAAAATAAGACTATGATACTTACATACATATTTAACAATTGCTGATCTTATTCTAAGAAATATTTTTAAAAACATAGTAAAGAGAAATAACAGTTTCCTTATGGGCAGGATTCATACAGATAAACACTGTGCCATCAAGCAGCAAAAATATTTTGCTTTTTTAAATGGAGAATTTCAAACACTAGACAAAAAAGTATAACAAACACCCATAAATATGTCGCCACTTAACTTATGGTCAATCTTGTTTAAGCTATATCCCCACTCCTTCCCTCCCTCCACAATTTTTAGAAGCAAACTGCAGATATATGATTTTCATCATAAAAATTTTTAGAATGCATCTTGTAAAAGGTAAGGACTCTATTAAAACACTATCACACCAACATAAAACAAAAAGACCTATTAATTCCTTTATGTCATCAAATACGAAAGAATATGAAGTCCGTTCCAATATTTTTAGACTGATTTTATTTTCTTTAGTAATCTCTATACCCAACATGGGGCTCACACTCAGGACCCTACGATCAGAGGCCCCATGTTCTCCCAACTGAGCCAGCCAGGCAGCTGTTGTTTTTAAAGCAAGCTCACATGTATAAAACACACACCTGACAACCTCTTGCCAAGGACTCATGAAAAAAATATCTTCATTTAGATAATTTTATGTGGGATTTCTCTTTATTCAGTTTAAATTATAAACAAACATATTAGGAAAGTACAATCTTCTAGAATATTCTGCTGATAAGGGAAGGATTAGTTAAAAATGTTGGGTTTTATACATGTGGGACAAAAAAACATTTTTTTCACACTGTTAAATCAATATAAAACATTTTGCCCCTAGAATCTAAAGGAAAGGAAGATGATTTACAGTAATTAACTAATTCTAAAGGACCTTCATATGAAGTATATTCAAGGTGACTTCAGTAAAACATCAGTGCCTAGAAGATGAAAAAATTCTACCATTATCAGGTTACATATCAACTTAAAGTTTATACTACTTTTATTTTACCATAATCCTTTGTTTCCTTCCTTCTAATAAGCATTGGAATTTGGTTGGTTGAAGAGATAACTGTAGCCAATGGTAAAGCTGTATAAGGTACTCCACACACAGTGTCAAAATTGATCCCTGCATTTTGGGCAGTTTGGAATAAAATTTCTGCAACCTGCAAGAAAATGAACATATAGACTATATATTATTGTTATCTTAAATGGTATATAAATCATGTTAATATAACATTAAAGACAGTAATAACCCGGGGTGCTTGGGTGGCTCAGTCGGTTAAGCATCTGACTTCGGCTCAGGTCATGATCTCATGGTTCATGGGTTCGAGCCCCACATTGGGCTCTGTGCTGACAGCCAGCTCAGAGCCTGGAGCCTGTTTCGGATTCTGGGTCTCCCTCTCTCTAAAAAAAAAAAAAAAAAAAAAAAAAAAAAAAAAAAAAAAAAAAAAAAGACAGTAATAACCCCATACGGGGTAGCCTCAAACTTGATCAGAAAAATATGTATGTCTTTTTGTTAAATTACCTTTCTGTAAATCCCAGTTTACAAATATAAAAACACAAGCATGAACCCACTTGTCTAGACAACTCGGGGTCTACGCTGAGGGCAACACTGGATGTGTTAGGGAAGGCTATGATGCTGACCTCAAAGACCAAGAAGGGCTCCCAGTCCTCCCAGTTTCCTTGGTAATCCACTATGATTTGACTATCTAAACCTTTCTATAAACCTGCTAGCTACAATTTCTGTCTGAAAGAAGTCTTCAATGAAAAGTTTCAATAAAGAAATTAAGAAAGCAATACTGTTTAATTTGACCAAAAAGAATCAAATACCCAGGGATAAATTTAACCAAGATCAAAGACCTGTACATTGAAAACTGTAAGACAGTAGTGAAAGAAAGTGAAGACAAATAAATGCAATAGTGTTCCTTACTTATGAATTGTCAATGTCCATACTACCCAAAGCAGATATAATGCAATCCCTATTAAAATTCCAATGGTATTTTTTATAGAAATAGAACAAACGATCCTAAAATGTGTATGGAACCTCAAAAGCACCCAAACAATCAAAGCAATCTTAAGAAAGATGAAACCTGGGGCATCTGGGTGGCTCAGTCAGTTAAGTGTCCAGCTTCAGCTCAGGTCATGATCTGGTAGTCCATGAGTTTGAGCCCCGTATCGGGCTCTGTGCTGAAGCTCAGAGCCTGCAGCCTGCTTTGGATTCTTTGTCTCCCTCTCTTATGTCCTTCCCCTGCTTGCATGTTCACTCTCTCTCTGTCATTAACTTGACAATAAACTATTAAAAAAATAATAAAAATAAATAAATAAAATTTTGCAAAAAAAAGAATAAAGAAACATTAAAAATATTTTTTTAAAGAAAATTGAAGCTGAAAACATCATACTCCCTGATTTCAGACTATACTACAAACCTGCTAAGGTAATCAAGAACACAGTATTGGTATAAAAACAGACACACAGATCAATGGAACAGAACAGAGCCCAGAAATAAACCCATTATTATGTGGGCAATTAATTTATGGCAAAAGAGTCAAGATTATACAATGGGAAAAGGATAAATCTCTTAAAAAATGGTGTTGGGAATACCGAACAGCCACATGCAAAATAATAAAAACTGGACCACTCAGACCATACACAAAAATAATACAAAATGGATTAGACTTGAATGTAAGACCTGGAACAATAAAAACTCCTAGAAAAAAAAGAGGTGGTCAGCAACTTGCATTAAGTTTTGGCAATTTTTTTGGATTTGACACCAAAAGCAAAAGCAGACAAGTGGGACTACACCCAACTAAAAAGCTTCTGCATGGTAAAGGAAATCACCAACAAAATGAACAACAACCTACTAAATGGGAGAAAGTATTTGCAGATCATGTATCTGCTATGGGGCTAATATCCAAAATATATAAAGAACTCACTGGGGTGCATGGGTGGCTCAGTCGGTTAAGCGTCTGACTTTGGTTCAGGTCATGCTCTCACAGTCTGTGGGTTCAAGCCCTGCATCAGGCTCTGGACTGACAGGCAGCTCAGAGCCCGGAGCCTGCTTTGGATTCTGTGTCTCTTTCTCTCTCTCTGCCCTCACCCCACTCATGCTCTGTTTCTCTCTGTGTCAATAATAAACATTTAAAAAGTAATAAATATATAAATAAATAAATGACCTCATTTACCTCAACAGCAAAAAAAACAGTCAACCGGATTAAGGCAGAAGGCTCACACACACCTTTTTCTAGAGAATAGTATGGCCAACACATATATGAAAAGATGCTCAGCATCACTAAGCAACAAGGAAATGCAAATCCAAAGCACAATGAGGTACATTTCACACCTGTTAGAATGGCTGTCACCAAAAAGACAAGAATAACAAGTGTCAGCAAGGACGTGAAGAGAAAAGGGAACCCTTGTGTCTTGGTGGTAGGAATGTAATTGGTACAACCACTATGGGAAACAGTTGGGACATTAGAAAAATTAAAAATAGAACTACTGGGGCGCCTGAGTGGCTTAGTTGGTTAAGCGTCCGACTTTCGCTTAGGTCATGATCTCACGGTTCGTGGGTTCGAGCCCCGCGTCGGGCTCTGTGCTGACTGCCAGCTCAGAGCCTGGAGCCTGTTTCAGTCTGTGACTCCCTCTCTCTCTGACCCTCCCCTGCTCACGCTGTCTCTCTCTCTCTCCTAGAAATAAATAAAACATTAAAAAAAATTTAAAAAAAAAAATAGAACTACCATATGATCTAGCAATTTCATTTTGGAGTATTAACCCCAAAACACTAATTTGAAAAGATATATGCACCCTTATGTTTATGGCAGCATTATTTATAATAGCCAAGATATAGAAGCAGCCCAAGTGTCCATCTATAGATGAATGGATTTGGTAATATATACACTTGGAATATTACTCAGACATAAAAAGTAAAATCTTGCCATTCATGATAACACAGATGGGCCTAAAAGGTATGATGCTAAGTGAAATAAGTCAAAGACAAACACCATAGGATTTCACTTATATGTGTTATCTAAAAAATAAAACAACAAACAAAAAAAAGCAGAAACAGACCCACAAACAGAGGAGGAAATGGTTGTTGCCAGGGGGGGAGGAGGGTGGACAGATGAGCAAAATGGGTGAAGAGGGGTAGGAAGTATGGGTTTCCAGTTATGGACTGAATAAATTATGGGAGTTAAAGGTACAGGTAGGGAATAGTGACAGATGGCAGCTACACTTGTGGTGAGCACAGCAGAAAATGGAGTAGTTTAATCACTGTGTTGTACACCTATATTTCAATTAACAAAAACACATCCTCCCAAAACAAAAAAGGAAAGAAAAAGACTCAAAAATATAGAGAACTGGTGGTTACCAGAGGAGAGTGGGGTGGGGGGTGGGGATGTAGGAGAAATAGCTGAAGGGAATTGAGGGTTTAAAATACATGTCACTGGGGGGGCGCCTGGGTGGCTTAGTCGGTTAAGCGTCCGACTTTCGCTTAGGTCATGATCTCGCGGTTCGTGGGTTCGAGCCCCGCGTCAGGCTCTGTGCTGACTGCCAGCTCAGAGCCTGGAGCCTATTTCAGAGTCTTTGTCTCCCTCTCTCTCTCCTAGAAATAAATAAAAATATTAAAAAAAAAAAAATACATGTCACTGGGAAGAAAAGTACAGCATAGAGAATATCATGAATATCATAATAACTTTATACAGTGACAGATATAACTACACTTACTGTGGTGAACATTTCACAATGCATATAACTGTCAAATCACTATGTTTTCTACCTGAAACTAATATGTCAACTAAAACTACAAATTTTTTAAAAAGGAAAAAAAACCCTAAGGACTCCAAAAAAACTATTAGAAAAAGTGAATTCAGTAAAGTTGAAGAATACAAAATCAATATATCTGTCAATATCTGTGGGGTTTCTATAAACAAATGCAGTAGAAAGAGAAATCAAGAAAACAATCCCACTTACAACTTCATCAAAAAGAATTAAATACTTAGGAATAAATTTAACCAAGAGGGTGAAAGACTGGTACACAAAAACTGTAAGACTCTAATGAAAAGAAATTGAAGAGGATACAAATAAAAGATATATTATGCTCATGGATTAGCAATATTAATTCTTGCTAAAAGGTCCATACTCCTCAAAGTGAACTATATATTCAATGAAATCCCCATCAAAATCCCAATAGCATTTTTCACAGAACTAGACCAAATAATCCTAAAATACATGTGGAATCACAAAAGAGACTGAATAGCCAGAGAAATCTTGAGAAAGGAGAACAAAGCTAGAGGCATCACAATCCCAGACTTCAAACTATCCTACAAAGCTAAAGTAACCAGAACAGTAAGGTACTGGCACAAAGATAGATACATAGATCAATGGAACTGAGAGCCTGGAAATAAACCCATTCATATATGATCAGTTAATCTATAACAAAGGAGGAGAGCATATACAGTGGGGCAAAGACAGTCTCTTCACTATATGCTGTTGGGAAAACTGGACAGCAACATGCAAAAGAGCTAAACCAGACCACTTTCTTCCACCATACATAAACTCAAAATGAATTAAAGATCTAAATGTAAGACCTGAAACCATAAAGCTCCTAAAAGAAAACATTGGCAATAAGCTCTTGGACAGGAGTTTTATCAAATTTTTTTTTTAAGCTTTTAAGCAATTTTACACTCAACATAGAGCCCGAACTCACAACCCCAAGATCAAGAGTCACATGTTCTACCAGCTGAGCCAGCCTGGCACCCCCTCCTTTTTTTTTTTTTTTAAAGATTTAATTTTTATGCAATTATTTTTTTGATCTGTCTCTTCAGGCAAGTGCAACCAAAAATAAACAACTGGGAATAAATCAAAATAAAAAGCTTTTGCACAGCGAATAAAACCATCAACAAAGCAAAACGGAAACCTACTGATAGGAGAAGATAACTGCAAACGATATATCCAATAAAAGGTTAATATCCAAAATGTATAAAGAACTTGTACAACACAACACCAACGAAACAAACAATCCAACCTGAAAATGGGCAGACACCCCAAATACACATTTTTTTCAAGGAAGAAATATAGATCATACAGATGGCCAACAGACACATGAAAAGATGCTCAACATTACTAATCATCAGGGAAATGCAAACTAAAACCACAATTAGAGACCACCTCACACCTGTCAGAATGCCTCAATCAAAGAGACAAGAAACAGATGTTGGAGACAATGTGCAGAAAAAGGGAACCCTCATGCAGTGTTGGTAGGAACGTAAAATGGGGCAGCCACTCGGAAAACAGTATGAAAGTTCATCAAAAATTATAAATAGAACTGCTGTACAATCCAGTAATTCCACTTCTGGGTGTTCACCTGAAGAAAATGAAAACAAAAATTTGAAAAGAAAATGCACCCCAACATTATTTACAATAGAGAAGATATGGAAGCAACCTAAGTGTTCACTAGTAGATGGATAAAGAGTGGTACATATGCAAAATGGAATTATTACTTGGCCAGAAAAAAGAATGAAATCTTACCATATGTGATAACACGGATGGACCTAGAGGTTAGTATGCAAAGTGAAGTTAGAGAAAGACAAAACCCATATGATTTCACTTATATATGGAATCTAAAAAGCAAAACAAAACAAAACAGACTCAAATACAGAATATGAACTGTTGGTTGCCAGAGAAGGGGGAAGGCCTGTAGGAAAAACAGGTGAAGGGAATTAAGTGACACAAACTTCCAGTCATAACATAAATAAGTCACAGGGATGTAAAGTACAGCATAGAGAATATAATAAATGATATTTCAATACTTTTGTATGGTGACAGTTGGTAACTACACTATTCATAATGTATATAAATGTGGAATCACTATGCTGCTCACCTGTTACTAACCTAATATTTCTTCTTTTTTTTTAATGTTTATTTTTGAGAGGCAGAGTAAGAGTGTGAGCCAGGGAGTGGCAGAGAGGGAGGGAGACACAGAATCTGAAGCAGGCTCCAGGGCTCGAACTCACGAACTGCAAGATCATGCTCTGAGCCGAAGTCTGCCGCTTAACCGACTGAGCCACGCAGGCGTCCCTACTAACCTAATATTTCAACTTCAATTAGGAAGGAAGAAAATTATGTATGGTGACATATTAACTAGGCTTACTGTGATCACTTAACAATACATGAAAATAGCCAATCATTATGTTGAACACCGGAAACTAATATAATGTATGTCAATTGTACTTAAAAAATCAATTAAGCCCTTTAACACTCGCTTTAGTAATATATTTTAATGTTTGCTTATTTTGAGAGGGAGAGAGCAGGGAAGGGGCAGAGAAGGAGAGAGGGAGAGGGAGAGAGAGACAGAAAGAATCCCAAGCAGGCTCCACACTGTCAGTGCAGAGCCCAAGATCATGACCTAAGTAGATATCAAGAGTTGGACGCTTCACCACCTGGGCCACCCAGGTGTCCATAGTAATCGAACCAGTCTTCTCACACCAAGGCCAAGAAAAGTTAAAATAAGCAAATAGGACTACATCAAGCTAAAAAGCTTTTGCACAGTGAAGGAAATCATCAACACAATGAGAAGGCAATCTACTTAGTGTGAAAAGATATTTGCAAATCATATATCCAATAAGGGGTTAATATCCAAACTATATAAAGAACTTACACAATATAAAAACATTTTTTAAACAGGTACAGAACTTGAATAGACATTTTCCCAAAAACATACAGATGGCCAATGGGCACATGAAAAGAGGGAAAGGCAAATGAAAACCACAACATGTCTGGTTGGCTGTTCTCAAAACACAAGAAATAACAAGTGTTCTTAAGGATGTGAAGAAAAGGGAACCCTCATACACTGTTGGTACAGCCAGTATGGAAAACTGTATGGGGATATCTTAAAAAATTAAAAATAAAAAATATCATATGATCCAGCAATTCCACTTCTAGGTAATTATGTGAAGAAAACAAAAACACCAATTTGAAAAGATACATGCACCCTTATGTTCACTGCAGCATTACTTACAATAGACAAGATGTGGAAGCAGGTTATGTGCCCATCAGTAAATAAATGGATAAAGATGTGGTGTATGTGTATACACACATATATATGATACACACATATACACAATGGATACTGTTCAACGATAAAAAAAGAAAATCTTGCCACTTACAACAACATGGATGGACCCAGAGGGTATTTACTTTCTAAGTAAAATAAATCAACAGAGGAAGAGCAATATCATATGATTTCATTTACATGTGGAATCTAAAAACCAAAATGAATAAACAAAACAAACAGAATCATTGACACAGATAACAAACTAAGTAACTACTGCTTACTAGCTGGGAAGGGTTGGCGGTGCAGGTGAAATACATGAAGGGGATTAAGTGATAAAAAAACTTCCAGTTAATAAATAAGTCATGGAGATGTTAGGTACAGCATAGAATTTAGTGAATAATACTGGGAAAAAAAAAAATGGAAGCTTACATACCAAAATGTTAAAAAAGACAGTTTCATAAATGCAGTGCCTACTGTGTGAAGTACTACTTTATAATATCCTTTTCCACATAAATCACATTTTAATGCTAGAATGCACACTTTCATCCACCTTATTTAAAAAAAAAAAAGCAAACAATCTCTCAAGATCGCATAGTGAACTAGATCAGGTCTTCAAAATTTTTCACACCTATACTTCTGAAGATTTGAAAATTCCGTGAATGTTTTTAAGCTGCTAAAGATGTAATTTCTAGAGTGCTAAAAAATTATGTTTCCCTAGAACTGTTATGTCACTCTTTAAAAAGTGAATACAGGGGCGCCTGGGTGGCTTAGTCGGTTAAACGTCCGACTTTCGCTTAGGTCATGATCTCATGGTTCGTGGGTTCGAGCCCCGCGTCGGGCTCTGTGCTGACTGCCAGCTCAGAGCCTGGAGCCTGTTTCAGTCTGTGACTCCCTCTCTCTCTGACCCTCCCCTGCTCACGCTGTCTCTCTCTCTCTCCTAGAAATAAATAAAACATTAAAATAAATAAATAAATAAATAAAAAGTGAATACAACAGGATGCAAATGCTATAGAGATTTGATACTGAACATCTCCATTTTTAAAAAATAGGAAAACGCTGCACTAGGAAAGGTGGAAACTTTTTACATTTCTGGAACTCATTTTCATTCCACTGTGCACAGAATTTTATTCTAATGTAATTAAGCTTTTACTTGGAAAGCTTTTAGTGATCACTCTATCATATTTCTCCATTAACAAAAATGTATAGAAATTCAAATTTAAAACTGTAAATTAAAAAAATTCCTATGATCTCTTAAGTGTTAAAAACTGTTAACATATTACAATAATTACAATCATGAAATTAACTAAAACATAAATTTGCAAATTTTGATAGAAGCAGAATGGATTATTTTGGAAATATTTCTCTTAGAGGAACGGTACCCCTTCATTTGTTTGTGTATTTACTTAAGTTGAATATTACAACTAGGAAGCTAGAGTTTAGTGTAAATTCTATCAGGTTTTTTTGGGGTGTAAATAATGAGAAATACTGTTCACAGAAATAAGTAGATAGAGAAAGGAGTTCCATTACTGCTAGGTTTCTGAACGTTTTCAATTCCTGAGTTAACCACTAAAAATCACTCACACACACACACACGCACCAAGATCTAGTATCAAAAAGCAATTTTTAGTCATCAACTGACTTGTTAAAACCTAAGCCAATTTTTCATTAGAAGTTTCCCTAGCGATTGACCTTCTAAGGATGGACGAGACAGATGTACCATAGTATATGGATTCTGGATGGCGAGAATAGTCCAACCCACTTCAACCAGCGCTTCAATCCTTTGTATAGGAACCTCAGAAAATAGGGGTCCCACATGGTGAGAATAAACCCTTAGGTGGTGGAGGAAATACAGGTGTCTTCTTGATTAAACCACTGTGACGACGGAAATGTTCTGCATCTGCACTGTCCAACGGGCCACTAGCTACATGTGACTATTTCAATTTTAAAATTCATAACATTCAGTATTCACGTGAGGCTAGTAGCAACTCTAATGGACAGGGCATTCATACCCTTCCACTTGGTGCGGTCAGCAGCTTTGGCTGACAGCTTGTTAGAAGGACAGAACCTCGGGCCCTGCCTCAGATCTACTGAATCCGATTACCCATTTTAACAAAATTCCCAGGTGATTCAAATATACTCAAAAGCTGGTGAAGCAACGTGCTAGAAACCTCTAATTTGGGCAGTTTTTCCTTATACTGACCAAAATAGTGCTTCCACGAAATGCCATCCTTTGGCCTTCATTCTCACTCCTAGCCACAAAGTGCAAAATCGAATCCTCCGTTCTAATTAACAGCCCTCCAAACATTTCAGCAGTTTTGTCCCCACATCTAGTTTTTTCAGGGGCAAATATCGACAGTGCCCCAAACGGGGCTTCCTGATTCTCTTGCAAAGCACGTGTCAAAGCTGGTGGGTCAAGGAACAGGCTGTTCTCTAGATCCTGATAAAATAAACAACTTTTCCTGTTTGTGGGCCCTGCTCCTAGGCTGGCAGGGAAGCAAACCGTCAATGCACGGGCTCTATTTCTACCCAAAGCACACACTGTACCTCTGCTTCATGGCGGGAAAAAGTCTTAAAAACCTCCCTGGTTCCTTTAAGATTAGTCATGCAACCTTTTACATACTCAAAACATAAGATAAAACCTACAACGTTCTGAAATGCCTTTGGTCATGGTGATTTCTAACTACGTACAAAAAAAAAAAAAAAAAAGGTATAAGCCTGCACCAAATGTTCCCTCCCTGGAGCTCTCTCTGTGAAGACTGTGTAGACAGAGCTGCTAACTTGGGCCCAAATAAAATCAATTGAAGAAAGGTTTGTTCATTTTGCATCAACATTCCGCAAGAGCCTAACTAAGTACCTGGCCTCTAGGCTTCTCAGATCGACTCCCCAGGCCGACAGTAGGGTCGGCTGCCTGCTTGGCTTTTTGCTCTCACCCACAGCCCAACTCCTTCACCCTCTCCGCATCCTGGTCCCCATTCCGAGCACCCAGCCCTGTTCTCCCCCTTTCCCCGGCTGGCACCTCACTGAGAAGACGTGGTCGAGACACGATGCCGCGTAGATCGATGTAAACAGGGGAAGAGAGCCCGCTCTTCAGTACGAAGTTCCCAAATTTAAAAGCCTGCACGTCGTACAGACCCGTTACCAATGACTCCAAATCGGCCTCTGCGGCTGCCATGGCCACGCGCTCCCGCTCGGGTTCTAAACTCCGAAGCGCGCCAGGCCTGCGGCGCCCCGATGCCGTCACCGAGAAAGCCCCGCCTCTTCCGCCCTGTCTTCCGGCGGCCTCGCGGCTCACTGCTTTCGTCTCCCGGTGTTTAAGGAGCGCGGCCTTGCTGGCTGTGGAAGCGAGCAGGACGCAGTCGTTTGGGCTTCTGCTGGCTGCCTCTGGATCGGGTCGCTGGAGTTCAACGCTCCGAGTACCTAGATTGACTCCCGAGTCATAGAGCCAAGCCTCTCTAGAGGGTTTGTGTAAATCCTGCCCATTTTATAGCGCAGTGTCCCCTTATCTACTTCCTGGCCGAGCCTTGCGTTATTCGCCAATTATTAGTCAAGATTCCCTCCTCCCTCCCCCCCAGCGTACCCTTCCCTGCCCCGACCCTGGTTTCTCCAAAAGGACGGAAGTTCTCGAAGACAGGAATCCTTACTCAATTCTTGTTAACTTCATGGCACTGGCACATGACAGTGTCATAGCAATTCGTACCTGAGACTATAAAGCGCTTATGTAATTGTTCATTACCTCTTCTGTCGGAGGTGTCCTGGAGAAGGACTTGGGTTTATTCCCGTTAGAATAGCTCAGCTGCTTGGAGCGTAATAAATGTACAGCAGATGTGGAAGGGAGGGAGGAGAATAGAGGAGGATGAATTGCTCCGTGTCAGGATTATCCAGGAGGGTAATCTTGCCAGCCAATCTGAAAATCCAAGCGTATTTGGTCCTTACAAATAAATCCCTTAATGTGGGGGAAATTCCCATTATGTGTAGAAGGCAATACTTTAAGGGAAATAACTTCAAACCATAGGGCTCATGATGGTTACTCATTAAATTGATTCTGATTTCATTTCTATATTTCTATATTTTTAATGTCCGCATGTTCTCTGAAGAGATTGTGCTGACCAAACAGTATGAAGAACCCATGCTTTTGAGAGTTATTTCTCATTTCAGATAAATGCAGTACATTTTTGATTAAAAAAAAAAAGGAGCCAAATGTTTGTAGCAGTTTTGTTCTTATTGGCAAAGTAACCTAATCAAGACGCTTCGATCTGTAACATTCTAGCTAACTGGCAGTGGTACTCTGAATCAGTATTACACTTGGGTGGCTCAGGCAGACCTGTTTCAGTCTATATACGCTAATCCGGACTCTGAGAGCAGACCATGATGCATACATTTCTGAGATCCAGCTCAGATGGCCTGACAATTTTCTAACAAAGTTGGCATTTGGAACACCAGGATGAAGTTTACAACACACACCTGAGATTTACTTGACCTTTTTTTGTTTGTTTGTTTTTGATAAATGCTTTAGGATACTTCTTTCCAAAATGCTGGGCAAAAAGTGTAATAATTGATATTTTCATCTTGTCAAAGGCTTTCATATATTTGGGAAAGAAAAATTATTACTCTTTCTTTTGAACAATGGTTTTAATTAGAAAGAAAAGAAAAAGACCACCAGAAATCATGTCTTTAGTATAGTGTATTTATAGGAATGCATAACTTGTGAGATGTACATTTTGAAGTTTCATCCATAACTTATAACATTTACTGTAGTAATAACAAGACAGCAGATAATCACTTTACAACATTACACATGAGTGATTTTGACTTACAAATAAAATATTTACAACTACCTTTACAAAACGACATTGTGTGCATACAAAATGAACTGCAGAAAAATTTAAAAATAATAAGACAACCAAAAACCCAGAAGATACACTTAAGGCAGACCAGCAAGACACTGAAATAATTAAGGCTGTGGAATTCTTCTGCACCTTGAAAATATAGAGCTATTTATCAATACTGTGGAGTGATTTTAAATCAATTGTTACAAGCCTGATGGAAGTATGTACTTATATGTATATGTGTAATGGTCCCTATGGGGAAACCTATCCACTTATGGATAAGGCCCTTTATCTTAATGGCCAGAGAAGCCCACTCCAAACTCCCAATAGACTTGGTGGGGAGGGGTCACTCAAAACCAAGAGGTGTCATTGCAGTTTGCAAACCAACTATTAATAATTCAAATATAAATATATTCCTGACCCTAGGAGTAAACAGATAGCCTAAATGATGGCCCCATTATGTTTCAGGCTTTGTTCACTTGGCTCTGTGGACTTCAAAGGACAGCAAGTAATTCCCAAATGAGTAGACCCTAACTCCACCCATCAGCCCTAATGGTTTTGAATGGCCCTAAATGGTTTTCCAGCAGAAAAACTGACCGACCTGGGCTGTCTTCAACTGGATAGATTTCTGCATGTGAGCAATAACATATACATACATATTATACACTATATACATGTACAGGTGTACATATATCCATATTTTCCAACAGTTTGCACTTTGATCACTACTGTTCTCTGACTAGGATCTCATTCTGATGGGTATGTTTAGTATTTTTCACAGTCTTCACATTGGTCCTAACTACTGGTTTTACTCACCTTCCCCATAGAGCAGGCTGGAGTTTGGCAGAAACAGAAGTAAAAGCACCAGGGTCAAAAAAAAAAAAAAAAAAAAAATCAGACACAGAGATGACAGATATGGCTTAAGTTAGTAAGAGGAGATAAACGTTTTGTTAACTTCAAATTCATAACCACAGTCTCTGAGAGCATGGTAACAGTCCCCATAATACTCCAGGATGTGGATTCAACTCTTGATAGAAGTCAGGCATTGATGGAACTCTTAATGCTAGCTATCCCTGGGCTAGCAAATTAGCTTGTCAAATTTTATTTGCACTTTTTTCCCACCACCCACTCTTTTCTCAGCTATCCTCACCCTCTGAAATAATAGGTATCTGAATAAACAATTAATCTCAATCATTTGAATAAAACTAAATCTGACCACATTTTAGAATCTCCCAATAAACAGGCTGACAAAACACAATAGCCTCTGAGTATTTCAGGCTTTCACGAGTATTAATTTCAAGCTTCCTATAAATGACCCTTAAAGATGAAAATTTGTCATAGAGTAATTGATTTTTCCTCTCCTCTAACTTCTACACATTTGAAAAATGCAGAAATGCCTTTCATAGAAGATATGGCCTATGATATTTCTGTGTTCTACTATTTCTATATAGATTTCTCATGTGAATAATATTTCCTATTAAAATGTCTAGTGCTATGGACAAATTTCAGCTCTTTCCAACCCTCTAGAATTAATGAAACAACTGAGAGCCATATAGGTTTTAGAAAATAAATATTAACATGGTAGCTTCCCTTTTCTTAGTGGAGTATGTATGAAACTTATCTTTTCTAAACCGGCCCCAGGTTTAATTATTAATTTACAAACGATCCCTAGACATTAAATAGTTAAGAAAAATCACAATGCAAATAAACCCACTGGAAGCCCACATACAGTGTTAGTCTAACCCAGACCCCACAGACATGCTACACAGGAGAGAAAGGAATAAAGCCCACATTCCTCAAAACCGAACAAGGGAGTGGTGAGTTTGCACTTTTGCCCTACAGCAGAGACCTCTTATGTTTGCCATATTTCCTCCTCTATCAAATGTAGGGGACAAAGTTTCAGTTAATACACAGAAATGACCACCATCTAGTTTATAACGTATTTGCTCCCTCATGTCCTCACAAATCTAAATTTCCATGTTCTTTCACATAGGCAAGCAAACAGGAATGACTAACTCATGGGCACTAAATCATGGAGACTATGGGAAAGCAAATATGCTACTTCTGAAACACTTATCTAAAAAAAAAAAAAAAAATCTAAGGTTTCCCCTTTAAAACCCAACAGTTCCATTCATTTCTACACCCTGTGCATGTAATTTGCTTCTCACAATGGATGTCAGTGAGATTCTGAAGAAATGAGTTGTGATATCAGACAATATTTTATTCTTACTTCTACCCTTCCAGTGAGGGAAGTGGCTGTTTGGGTTCTTCTCTGACAATGTTTCCAGATCAAACAGCTTGAGAAGAGAGAATAGCAATTGCTTCGGAGGGCACCCTAATTTGTGTCTGCCATCAGAAATCCTGGAGAAAGCAATTTATTCACATAAGACCATCAGCTCTCCTAACCTATTTCTGTAGACAATCTTTTTAAATTATTGAAATTACAGGCTAAGACCAAATAACATTTAGACAAAGAGCACCTGGTACTTCCAATTAAAATCAAATTACAGAATTTAATCTTATGAGTTTGCAAATGGTATCCTAAAACATGAATATTGAAAACCTGGAATGTTCAAAGTTACTATTAATAAAGTTCTTAGCACTGGCAGTGTGTAGCACTTTTTAAAAAATCAAAGTGTATTTTAGACATCCCAACTATGCTATTTTCCCTACATTCCTATGAGATTAAAGTCCCTCCTCTCCCCCCCCCCACCCCCTATCCCATTTTAACAATGGGGACTTTTGGGACAGAAAAAACAAAGACTTTCTGTAAGAAAGGACGAATCAGGAATAGCTTGAGGGTGAAACCCAAGAATTCCTGGCCTCACCCTATATTCAGATGTTTTCATTTAAAAGATATTTTAACATAAAGGAAAAAAATGCTGCAGTATCAATCAATCTACATACAATGAATTTCTTTATCTCCCATCCTCCCCTCTGAAAGGCACTACTATTTATAAAGGCTTTGTGAACGACAAAGCGGTGAAGCCAGCTTTTCCTCTGCTTCCTCTTCTCCCCCAAGAGTGTTTATGGCTGTGAGAGTCCTGTAGGACACCTCCACATTGCAATTTTTTTCTTAAAAATTTTCCCACATTCAGCTGTAAGTGGATATAAATCTATTTAATTTGAAACAAATGTAAAAGATGCAGTAAATCATTATATCTTTAAAAAATTATTATGAGTTGTCCCTGATCTTTTCTTCTTTCTGCATCCCACCCTTACAAAACAAAACAGACCTCAAAACTCTATGCAATGAAAAAAAAACAAGCAAGAAATTTATGACATTAACCAACACTAATTTTTCCCATTTCAACTGGAAGCTCACTTCCACTAATTCCCAGTTAAGTTTTGATTTCAAAAACTATGGTCGAAGTGGACCATTTTCTCTTCTTCCCCTCTCTACCAGAAAGCAATTATCTGCCAAAACAGGTACAAGAAAGTGGTTATTAATCCTCCGTCCCCCCCCATGGTTGCCCACAGAGCAACCTCAAGTACATTTCCCAAGCCCCACCTTCTGGGCTTCCCTGTTAAAGCCTTCCTTGTTATTTCCAGCTCCCTATGGAGAATTCTTGAGCCAGGATTGCTAAATTACTTCTGTCGGGGAGTGGGCAGGGGCTTTGCAGACAGGGAACCTCTCTGTTAGTTTAATTCAGTTATCAAACTATATAAAATACACACCCTTTCTCTTGGGGCCTCTGTTAAATTAATTCTAATGATTGTACTTTGGCTCCAGTTAACAGAATCATCCTACTTTTCATTTCTATGTCCTGCCTCTCCTGTCTCCCCATTTCCCCAGCATGTGTACTTGTGGGGAGGGGAAATTCCACGCAACCCCACACCTGGGCTGTTCCAACTCTGATGTAAAAGCTGATATAAAACTTTTGGCTCCACCATTCTGTCAGCTTCCCTCCCACAACATGATTTCATGAATTCTCTCCTGTGCCCTCTGTGCACTACTGTCCAAGGCTCGAATCTTCTCCAGCAGAATCTCAACCAGTCTCTTACATGGTCATACACACTCAAAAGGACTCAGCACAGATTTCTTTAGTTGCTGTGCACAGTGGATGAAACAGACCTTGCCAAGTCACATTTTATGGGTATTTGGAATCCTCAGTGCCTGCCCTCCATCCGGTGACTAGCCCTAGGGACCAGGCTTCTTTTAGGCTAGATCTCACAATAGAGACATGTTTACTAAAAGGTTTTTTAGTAAATATGTTTTAAATTTTAAAATATTAGATCAGATAGTATTTGTATATACATGTAGGTTTAAATGAAGACTAGGGAGGGTTGGTCAAGGGCGATCTCTGAGGGAGGGCGCCTTGGTGACCCAGGGCCATTCGAAACTAGGAACCAAATAACAGTTGGAATCAGTTTCCACGTATTTGGTTAATCCTAAAAATACGAAGTGCTATCTAGTCTTATTGCTTGTACTTTCTACTAATTGATTAATCTATAATCTTGGATGGGATGAGGCGGAGGGTAGATGAGGAAGTTGACTCTAAGACCAATGGAAAAGACAGATGAGTGGTTTTAATTCTATATTTCCGCTGTGGGAATAAGTGTTTTTATATATTAAAGTTCAGACTTCGTTTCCACCATTCCTTTTCATTTAGATAGGTTTGTAATTCTATTTATCCTTCATAAACTCTCTGCTTGCACTTTTGTGCAGCTTGATTTTAATTTTCTCAATCCTATCATAGGAGAGAAGCAATGCCATTAAAACTGATTTGAGGACAAACACTTGAGTTATTTTTTAAAAATATTATTTGCATATCCTAGAAAACAAAGGGTGGGTCAAGTACCAACACACAAAAAACCCCCAAAAATTGTTCCCCAAAAACAAAGAAAGAAAAACAACCATGAAATGCCCAGGTTGAATTTTTTTTTCCCCCACTAGCTGGGGAAAGGGCAGTTCATAATCACTGGGAGTGGAGAACACATGCCGGGAAGCAGCGTTGGCCTCAAAGTGCAATTTGTCCTTTTGGTCCAGGGAAATATCAGCGGCTGAGTGGTGACGGGTATTGGAATCACAGTCGAAACTCAATGCTCTGTTAGAGTGATGTATCAGATTTTATTCCATGGCTTCAAAAAGGACTTGGGACCAGGCCTTTATAAGGCCTATATGGCTGCCTCCTTTTGGTAAGCACCCCTTAGCTTCCAGAAGGGGTTAGAAATAAAGCAAACCAACTTTCTGAGGACTGCCTTCTACAGCTGTAGAAGAAGTCAGAAAGCGTTGTTACGTTGGTCTTAGGAACCATAGGAAAGGTTTCTATTTGCCCTTTTGTATGAACCTGTTATATTCATTACCTAGTTCAAACCGAGTGTAGACATAAAAATAACCCCAGAACTCTTACTGTATTTGGACTTCTTTCCTGGCAGGCTTTCCTGCCAGATGAACTCTAAGCTGCCGGTGAATTTGGGGGTAGCGTTTCATATACAGAACCTATGTTAATCAAATACTTGTGACTGAGAGAAAAATCATCTCATTCACGACTGCAAAAGGTAACGTTGCTTTCTCTTAATGCACAGGTTCTGGTAAAAGATTTCTATACAAGATTTATAAAATGCTCTAAAAAACTTGTCATCTAATTGTGCTTAGTCAAAACAATGTAATGCTTCGGTAAATAAATTACTGTCTTAACTGGAGCACTCAAAGTTACTTATGATTGATTTCATATATACCTCTATATTATAAAACTCTGAAAACTGAATGGAATATATTTTACTGTATGTGTATATGTATCCTATTAAGAAACTATATCTAAGTAATCTAAACCAGAATAGTTGGCATACACGACATCTCTGTTAAATAGAACTTTTTGCTTAAAATTTCAGCAGAGTTAGAAACCTTTTATGCTCACTACAGTGAGCTTTGGGTTTGCCCAGTTAACCACTCATTTTGGAACACACTATTAAAATCGTCTAACAGCTAATATTCTTGTTCTCCTTGGCCTTCTCTTTAATGGTTTGGGTGACTCTTTGCATCTTTACCTCTTCCGAATGACCTTCTGAAAAGCCCCTGGATTTAGGGTAATTTTACGGCTGCCCAGACCCTGAATAACCCCTGATGAGGTTTAAGAGGTACATCTCTCGATCCAGAGAACTGCATGGAGTGAACTAACAGAATTATTTACAGACATTCAGTCTTGCTTTGGTTCACACTGCACTTCCATGTGAAACCCCAAGGGCTAGGAGATGGCTACGTCCCTTGGTTTACCCGGTTGACGATGTAGCTCTTGACGTTGGGGACAGGCCGCACGTCATTCTGATGCTTGCGGCGTTCTATGAAGCACGCCAGGCGGGAGGTGTCCAGGGGGATTTTGGAGTAGCTGCCATTGTGGGGCTGCAGCCAGGGATGCTGCAGGCAGGTGGCTGCTGTGGGCCTCCTCCGGAAGTCTTCCTGCAGGATCACATTGATGAAGTCTCTGGCAGCATTGCTCACGCCACAGAAGTATTCATGTGGGAAGCTAAAGTCCACCCTGCACACGTTGATACATGTCTCCTCTTTACTCTCATCCAAGAAGGGGGACACGCCACTCAGCATGACATACGTCAGTACCCCAATGCTCCAGATGTCTGTGCCCAGGGAGACGGGGATGCCTTGGATCACTTCTGGGGCGGCAAACTCGGGGTTCCCCAGCAGGTGGTGGATGTGGAAGTGCCCCGAGATCTGGACGGCATCCTCCAGGTCTATGAGCTTCACTCGAGGTACTGGAATGCGAAGGTCAATGAGCAGGTTTTCAGGCTGAGGAGACCCAGGCGTGAGGGAGAAGAGAAGGCAAGTTCAGCTTTCTGTCTTGACTACCAGTACGACTCTGGTGGTTCAAACACGGTTCTGCTATTCTTTGAAAAAGCCTATAGAGCATGAGAAATCGCCTATGCAAAGTGCACAGGGGAGCTCAAACTAGACTAAATTCCGAGTTAGGGTGGCCCTTCAGAGAAGCTGTTTGACACTGAAAATCATGTCTTCTCAACCACCCCTTACAGAATTCTGCACTGTCTCAGAAAAAAAAGAATGGATTATTCACTTTGGAAAAGAGAGCCTTCTTTGGGAGCACCGTAAAAAAACGGACATTTTTGGCTTCCTTCTAAAATGTTAGACGAAGTGCTAAAAGCTTCCCTACTTTCTCTCACCCCGGACATCCCTGTGACTCTGGTGTGTTCTCTTTAATTCATGAAAAACACACTTAAGTTGTGTGACAACCTCGTTTCTGTTTAATATTACTAAGGACTCTAAGGAAATGAAATGAATTAGAAGGTACGTCCCTCAAGGGTAATGATGAACAGGTTGGACTGAGCCACCTCATTGCAAGGGTAGCTATTTCTTATTACCTTGATGTCCAAATGGGCAACCCTGCAGTTGTGAAGATACTGCAGGGCTTCTATGATATCTCGGATGTAGAAAGCTACTTTCTCTTCCATCAGCTCATCATGATGCATAAGGTAGTCTAAGAGCCGGCCATCATCCATCCTGGAAGCAGGGAGCAAGGAAAAAGCAAAGGAGATACGTTTGTAAAGAAATGGTAAAGTAACACAATACAAATCCATAAGAGCTCTAAAATCTCTCCTGTCCGCCTTAGAAATGAAGATCCATTTGCCACACGCACGTATTTTATTTTATTTTATTTTATTTTTACAAATAGTTTATTGTCAAATTAGTTTCCACATAACACTCAGTGCTCATCCCCACAAGTGTCCTCCTCCATGCCCATCCCCCCCTCCCCCCCACATCCATCAGTCCTCAGTTTTTGTCAGCATTCAAGAGTCTCTCATGGTTTGCCTCTCTCCCTTTCCCCCACCATTTCCGCCCTTCTTCTCCCCCTTGTTCCTCCGTCAAGTTCCTCCTAATCCTCCTATACGTGCAAACATATGATATTTGTCCTTCTCTGCCTGACTTATTTCGCTCAGCATAACACCCTCAAGGTCCATCCATGTTGCTACACATGGCCAGATTTCATTGTTTCTCATTGCCATGTAGTATTCCATGGTATAGATAAACCACATCTTCTTGATCCATTCATCTGTTGATGGACACTTAGGCTCTTTCCATGTTTTAGCTATTGCACACGCACATATTTTAATTAGAGCCTGGAGTTACCATAAGGCTCAGAATGAAAATTAATTAATTAAAAAAAATTGCAGTTGTGATGTGCTCCACGGAAGAAATCTGTGTAACCTTAAAACACATTTTATGTTGCTAAAAGTCACGAGGAAAAAGGTCTGGCGCTCCTTTAAGAGGTTAGATTGCAAAAGGGAGAATGACTTGAGAAAGAGTTGCTCTCCCTCAATATTCCGATTAACTGGAGCCTCTGGGCTGCGGGCTGCCTCAAATACATTTTGCAAATTGCTTTTATTTGTCAGTGTTTGCATCTAACACTGAAAGTCAGCAAAGTTTGTCCCTGGTGTTCTTGACCCCTTTTTGGATCCTCTCCCTTTGGAGCAAGTTTCCAATCTTAAAAAACTGTTGGCTAAAGACATGGTAGGGGGAGCCAGCCAGATCCAGATTTGAATCCTGATTCTGCAACCTACGGGCTGGGGGTAAACTGGAAAACTCTGTGCTTCGGTTTCTTCATCTTTCAATGAGAATGGCAACAACAGCAGTAACACCTACTTCATTATGTGGGTCATGCAAGAATCAAGTGAGACAACGCAGCATTTAAACATAATTGGTAGAAATAGTAAATGCTCAGTAAATATTTTCAGGTACCCTGTGCCCTCTTTAGCAAAGAGTGACCAGATGTCAGACTGACATTCTAATGTGCACTGGGCTGTCAAAGGCGCATCCCCAGGAAATACTCAGGTAGAGGAGCTTAACCCAGAGTCAGAAACAACCTTTGAGCACAGCTGAGCCTCACCCCCCAGCCACGTTTCCGTTCTCTTCTCTAGCTTATTCCTTCCCACTGGTCTCTTCTTCTGCTCTCCTTGGTGGGAGCAAAGCCTTGCCGGGGCTGGGGTGGGAGTGATTAACATGGAGTGGAGTGGAGTAGGCCTGGGTTTGTTAGATGCACCTCACCCCTGGACTTCTTGCGGTACTGCTCTGAGACCTGAAAGCCTCAATATCAGGTTCACTTTCAGAGCTTTTGGGTCATGCAGACACCCAGGGCCCCCCCTAGACTAGGGGATCAGAACCTCAGTTGCCCGGAAGAGAAAAGCTCTACCAGAGATTTGGATAGTCACCAAAAGGGGGGCCTCTGGTCACAGCGTAACCAAGTTTAGCACAGGGCTTAGCTCAGGCACCGCCTCTCCACTAATCTCTGAAACTTCAAGTCGAACACACTCCCTTCCGTGGTCTCACAACAACCCTCTCCAAAATATGCGTTTCTTTCTCAACATCTGCCACATGAAACTGAAATCATTCTCCCAGTGACTGGTCTTCCTCATCAGACTCTGAGCTCTTCAAGGATAAGAACCACATCTTTTCATCTTTGTTCCTTCCACTCTGGCCCCAAGTCCACACAGCAACCGGCACACAGGGAGTGCTCATAATTATTTGCCAAACTACCTCAATCCACTATTCATCTCATTTAATCCCTGTAATAAGTCTGGGAAGTGGAAATAAATCTTCAGACTTCACAGATGAAGACTTGAGGCCCAGGAATCTAAAAACTTTGCCCCAAATCACAGAGCTGGGATTAGAGACCAGGTTCTTTATTCCAAGAATGGCTTCCTTCCATTGCACTGTGACAGCCTGGTAATTAGCACTTTCCCTTGGAATGACAGTTGGCGAATCTGAAGAGGCAAAGGTTCTGACCAGCCACACTACCTTGATATGCAAGTGAGAATACCTTTTATTGGAACTTGGGTACAACACATCGTCACCTGTAAATGAAAACAATTCACTGCCAACAGAATACATCGTTTGAGTTAGGAAGCTGTCCCAACCAAAGGTTAGGTTCCAGAAGACTGTTCCTAAGTGTTATTTGTTAAATCCAAAGTGACAATCGACCAGTGACTACATAGCTATATAAAGTTAGGTATCAAACAAGAATTACAAATATTAAAAGAGTTGATTTTGTCTTCTCTTGTTTCTTTGCAACCAATTAAAAAGTGTAGCCAAAGAGGTGTGCCTTTTGGCTCTCATTTTTTCATCAATAAATTTATAAGTTATTGCTTCAAAAGGCCTTCATACACAAACACCTAGGCGAACAAGCACACAAGAGCAACACCAAAATGGCAGCCAGAAGCTGTGAGTGAAGGCACTTCTCTTCTGAACACAGACTCATGTGGAGCCCTGCCAGGTTATTAGCGCCCATCTGATAACATTATTTTGAGGGCTCAATACTTCTGAAAGGACTTGTCTCTTTAGCCTCTGTTAGCTCTCTGTAAACCATAGATCACGAGCTGTGGCCTTAGCGTGGCGTAGCAGTGGGGAGAATGTGCTTTATCTGATGTATTCTGGAGCCAAGTATATGGTTGCCTGAATTCCCAGAAAATCTGGAATGAGTAGAATATTTTCGAGGCAAGTGTCTCCATTAAAAGGAATTTCTTGGGTGGTAGACCATGGGTGCTGTGCCAGCAGATTGATGCTCAAACCCCTCTTTCATCTCAGCCCTGCCCCCTATTGTCTATAAGCTTTTCCTAAACTCCTGCACAGCCCAAGAGTCCATAATCAGAATCAGAGTGGGAGAGATCTGGGTTCAGGTCCCAGTTTCTCCATCCCCTAGTTGTAAGGACCTTTCTTATCCTTGATTTTTTTCTAATCTATAAATGGGAACCGCATTTTAACAAATGGATGGGAGAATGCATGTTACGTGCAACCCTTTGTACACTGTAAGACGTTGCATAAAATGTAACTGCTGTTTCTGGTGGACAATAAATGACCAGGCAGCTGGGGACCACTCAGAGACACCTGTACTTACAGTTCCAAAATCAGGATGTAGGATGTGGGGGATTCGTAGGTGTCGTGGAGAGTGATGTACTGAGGGTGCTGCAAGTGCTGGAGTAGGGCAGCCTCGTGGGCAGCCTGCTCTTTTTTCTTCATTTTTTTGCTAACGAATTTCACAGCGACATCCTTGCGGGTAGCTTTGTGAATACACTTCTTCACTATGGAGAAACGGCCTCTGGAAAGCGAAAGGGAGAATGCATTTTGCCAAGCTTCATTAATCAGTTAAGTATTATTTTTTTTAGGGATGTGTAAAGTTTTATCTGAAGTGGTTAAACAGTTACATTTGATTAGGAACCCTATTTTCCTATATTTTAATATGTTTTAAGTGTATTTATTTATTTTGAAAGACAGAGCATAAGCAGGGGAGGAGCAGACGGAGAGGGAGCAAGAGAATCCCAAGCAGGCTAGTGGGGCTCCATCTCACAACTCTGGGATCATTACCTGAGCTAAAATCAAGAGCTAAAATCATTCTGGGGCGCCTGGGTGGCTTAGTCGGTTAAGCGTCCGACTTTCACTTAGGACATGATCTCGCGGTTCGTGGGTTCAGGCCCCACGTCGGGCTCTGTGCTGACTGCCAGCTCAGAGCCTGGAGCCTGTTTCAGTCTGTGACTCCCTCTCTCTCTGACCCTCCCCTGCTCACGCTCTCTCTCTCCTAGAAATAAATAAAACAGTAAAAAAAAAAAAAAAAAAAGAGTTGGGCATTCTACCAACTGAGCTACCCAGATGCCCCACAGGTTCAATTTTCCAAGCTGAATATATTTATACAAAATACAAGAGTAATAATGTTACAGGAGGAGGAGTTCTACTCTATGATAATTTCAAAAACATTTTCTTTTTTTAAAAATATTTTTATCTATTTCTGAGAGAGAGAGAGAGAGACAGACAGACAGCGTGAACAGGGGAGGGTCAGAGAGAGGGAGACATAGAATCTGAAACAGGCTCCAGGTTCTGAGCTGCCAGCACAGAGCCCGACGCGGGGCTCGAACCCACCAACTGTGAGATCATGACCTTAAGTTTAAAAATTTAGGAGCGCCTGGGTGGCTTGGTCGGTTAAGCGTCCGACTTTCTCTTAGGTCTTGATCTCGCTGTTCATGGGTTCTAGCCCCGCTTCTGGCTCTGTGCTGTCTGCCAGCTTAGAGCCTGGAGCCTGTTTCAGTCTGTGACTCCCTCTCTCTCTGATCCTCCCCTGCTCACGCTGTCTCTCTCTCTCTCTCTCCTAGAAATAAATAAAACATTAAAAAAAATTTATTTATTTTGAGTGGGGGAGGGGCAGAGAGTGAGGGAGAGAGAGGATCCTAAAGAGCCTGACAGGAGGCAGGGCAGGGGAGGGGGGAGGCTCGATTCCTTGAACCATGAGATCATGAACTGAGCTGAGGTCAAGAATTGGACAGTTTTTTAAAAAAGTTTACTTATTTATTTTGAGGTGGGGAGGGGCAGAGAGGGAGAGGAGAGAGAGAATCCCAAGCAGGCACGAAGCCTAATGCAGGGCTTGCACAAACCATGAGATCATGATCTGAGCTGAAATCAAGAATCAGATGCTTAACCAACTGAGCCACTCAGGTGCTGCCCTCGCTATACCTTAATTTTTTTTTTTAAAAAATGTGTGTTTATCCAAGTTATGCATCCCCATGATTTAAAAAGTCAATTAGCTTTAACAAGGTTTCTTATTAAAACTCCTACCCCCATCCCCATTTTCTCTTACACTACTGGCAGTTTAACATAGCAGTCAGTTATATTTAGCTGATTATTTGGGTGGTCTATGTTTGTGTGGCTACTTCTTAGTGTTTCAGTTTTCATTGTAATCTGCTGACACCTACTCTGGAGAGCGAGATGTTAGTCTCGCTCCTTCTCATCACATGACCACTTTTTCCTTTCCCTGTCCTCTCAACAGAATGATATTTAAAAAAAGTTTTTTTAAATGTTTGTTTATTTTTAAGAAAGAGAGAAAGACACAGTGTGAGTAGGGGAGGGGCAGAGAGAGAGGGGGAGACACAGACTCTGAAGTAGGTTCCAGGCTCCAAGATGTCAGCACAGAGCCTACGTGGGGCTCGAACCCACAAACCATGAGATCATGACCTGAGCCCAAGTTGAATGCTCAGCCAACTGAGCCACCCAGGTTCTCCTAACAGAATATCTTAATCAATATTCAGTGTTTCCATTCTTGCAACTAGGTCAGGGCTATACACAGTTGAAGCTCCAGTAAACTATGAATATTTTCCTTGTTGTGATAGAATTCAGTCCTTATTTCTGACAAAGAATGTCCCTTATGAGCACCACTCAAAGATTAGTCTGGGACTAAGAAGTCACCGCAGGGTGACTGAGCGGTGGTTTTTATCATGGTTCTGTTCTCAGAGCCTTGCTCTGCTTCTGTTGGATGTGTTCTCTCCGTGCACAGCTTGAACGTGGCCCGGGTTTGTGGTGTTCCATGAACAGAATTAGGGGGTCTCCTTCCTTAGCCCTCTCCTCACTGAGATTTCCCACACATTCTTTGGTTCCTATGGGCCTATTTTTCTGGATGGGATTCCCTCAGAATTTTAGCCTCTTGCTTGGAGTAAAGCAGTGAGAGAGAGAAGGGAAGGAGGAAAAGGCATTTTCCTGTTCTCTTCAGCTCAGAGGGACCTCTTTTCCTGTCTTTTGGCAAGAAAGATGGGTTTCTTTTGGAATTGCTCCTTGTATATGCTGCCCAGCTCCCTGCTTTGACCCACGCTTGGGTTAAAGCCCAACAAACAAACCAGAGAGCTCACTGCTACTATCCTTGATTTTCTTCAAGTTTTAACTTGGTTTCCCAATGTCTGTTATTGACTTTTCAGAATCCTGAGGTAGTTGCTGTTTTGGATTTTGTCCAGGGCTCTGGTTGTCATCAGTGGAATAGGCTACAGTGGGCTTACTCTGTCCTGGCCGGCACGGGGGGTTGGCTTATTCTATAAGTTTGGGACTAAACAGCTGTTTGGAAGCTCTAATTATGGGTGTGGTGCCTGTCAATTGACCTTCACTGTCGAGTGATCTGAATGGACTGTTTTATTGGGAAAGCACCGAAGTCAGTATCTTTAAGACTTTCCTCTTGGGCTGGTCAGATTTTCCAGAGAAAGATCCCTCTCCTTCCTGCCTAGATGGTGAAGCCCTGGTTATCCATTTCTGGAGCCCGCTGGCTAAGAGAGAGCTGGCATCCTGATTATCCAGCACGGATTTGGTCTCCTAACTGGCCTGCTGCAGTCAGGTTCTGCTGCCCCCAGCTGTGCCGGTGTCCCTGCGGACAGAGGCACTTTGTTTTACCCTGTCTAGAGAATGAGCTTCCGGCATTTCCCTGGATGGGGAAGGGCAACCTGGAGATCTGGAGCCACGACCTCTCACACAAGACTTTCAGCCAATCCTCCAACTTCAGCAATCCTCTTTCTGATTCGCAGAAGTACTTGGTGCTGCCAGGACCCCAGGCTTTGGGGGAATTTTGCTGCCAAAGTTGCACTGCCTCTCACTTAACCCCACAACCGACTTGGAGATAGTTCCTAGGTCATTTGTCACTCTGTTGCTTGTTTTCTGCCTCTAATCTGTTATAATTGCTGTCTCTTCTTCCAGTGTCTTCATCCTCACTAAAATGTCCTTTAGTGAAGATTCAGTGAAGTCTCAGGATGGAGGGAACACAGGTGGCTGTTTTCAACTTGCCTTCCTTACCTAGAGGCCTGGTCCTGCTATCTTTTCGGATTGTGTGCAGCATTCCCCGGGATAAGTCTCTGCCTTCTTTATATTGCAGTGGTGGTTTATTTCTACCTAACTGTGCTGTGCTCAAGTGCTCTTTCCTTCAGATGGACTTTAGCAGTGAAGATATTTCTTTCTGCACCATGGTTTTTATAATAGTTTATTATCAGAGAACTGTTTTTTAACGTTTTTAAACATTTATTCATTTTTGAGAGAGAGACAGAGAGACAGAGTGAGAGTGGGGGAGGGCAGAGAGAGAGGGAGTCACAGGATCCGAAGCAGGCTCCAGGCTCTGAGCTGTCAGCACAGCTTGATGTAGGGCTCGAACTCACAAACCTTGAGATCATTACCTAAGCCAAAGTTGGACACTTCACCACCTGAGCCACCTAGGTGCTCCACCAGAGAACTATTTTTAACAAGATAGTCATATAGGCCTAGAATTCTAGGTTTAGGTGTGATGGAGAAACTTGACTCACTTCTACGGCTCACAGATACTTTTCATGTGTATCATGTGAGTATCTACATGTTTTTTTTCCCCTTTCTGTTAACTACAGCATCTTTAAAGGATTTTTTGAAACCATGAGGACTATACTTGGAGGGGAAGCAAAACTTCAGATTGTTGGAGATGAGATTTTTTTTTTATAAACCATCGATTGCTTTGAACAGATCAGAAACTTGATCTCCCCTTCGGGAAATATGAAAACATCCATCTCTTCCAGGTAAAACATGTCTTAGCCCATGGCTATCAACAGTAAATGCATATCTTGAGAAGGAATTCACTGGTACATCCAGGTGATGCAACCAGTTTCATTTAGAACCAGATCCAGGGAGGGATGCCTGGGTGGCTCAGTCGGTTAAGTGTCCAACTTCGGCTCAGGTCATGATCTCATGGTTAGTGAGTTTGAGTCCTGCATCAGGCTCTCTGCTGTCAGTTCAGAGCCTGCTTCAGATCCTCTGTCTCCCTTTCTCTCTGCCCCTCCCCTGCCTATGCCCACTGCCTTGTGCTCCCTTTCTTTTTCAAAAAACAAACAAATAAACAAAAAACATTAAAAGAAAAAAGAACCAGGTGGGGATTTGATTCACTACTGGAGTCATACCTAGCTTCATAAACTTGAATATAATGGGGCAAACTAGATTTCAATTGCTAGAGCTTATTTTTGACAAAAATTTCTACAATGAGATATCATATATGCTAGTAAAATAAACACAGGCTTAAGAATTGGGTAGCCCGGGGTTGGAATCCTGGCTCTCCACTTACTAGTCGTAGGGCCTCGAAAAAGTTACTTAACTCCCTAAGCCTGAGTTCCTTTCCTGGAAACCTACTTAAACACTATCTCACATGTTATAAGGCTTAGATGTAATACCTTTTGTATAACACCTGCATAGTATCTGGAACACTACAAATACTCAATAAGCACCATCATTATCACCTTGGAAATTTCCACTGGCCTTTTTCCCCTCTCTGGCCACTCAAAGAAGAGAGAAAGTATAGCTAAGAAAGTTGTTTTTTTGTTTACTTGTTTGTATTTTTAGAGAGAAAGAATTTCAAGCAGGCTCCACACTCAGCACAGAGCCCAATGTGGGGCTCAATCCCACCACACTGGTATCATGATCTGAGTCCATATCCAGTCAGACATTCAACCGACTGAGCCACCCAGGCACCCCGAGATAAATTTGGTTTTTGACGAAAGGTGCTGTAATGAAAGGCAGTGAATTACAGTGTAAATCCTGCCTAAGAAATGGGAATAGCAATCATTTTGGCTCCCTCCATAACCTCTGTCACAATCTCCCCACCTAGGAAATGTTATGTTTCATTGAGAGATGTCAGTCAGAGATGGAGAAGATGTTAATGGCCCATTGTTTGTGGGTGCTTTTTTATTTTTTACATCCAGGGAAGTGTGAGACTTGCAAGAACTACCTACCCTCTCCCCTAGACCATGTGCAAACTGATGCACATAAAGAGACGAACCCCCTTTTCATTTCTTTCCATCAACTATTTTGTGGGACAGGTGATAAATTTTTTTCATTATTTTGTTAAAAGTTATATTTTTATCTTTTTTATTTTTGAGGACATACTTTTCTAACCAAAAGAAAGAGACAGAGAGAGACAGAGGCACAGAGAAACAGACAGAGACAGGAAGGTTGTGTGTGTGTGTGTGTGTGTGTGTGTGTGTGTGTGTGTAGGGGCATACTGGATTGGAAATATCCATGAAACAATGCGCTTGTGCTTGAAACATGGACATGAATGGAAACTTGTACCAAAAATTAGTGATTGTACCGTCTTCTCAGGAATGCATGGAACTTTTAACAAAAATTAACCATGTACTGCTCATCAATCAAGTCTCAACAAAAATCAGCATCCGTATCATATAAATCAAGCTCTTCAACTACAGAGTTAATTAAATTAGAAATCAGTGACAAGATGATAGTTGGTAAAAATCTCACACAGTTGGAAAATTAAAAATATTTCTATTACTATTAGGTCAAAGAAAATAATCATAGTTGAACTGAATGATAATGAAGGTGCCACATACCAGAAGTCAAGGTATGTAGCTAAAATTGTGCTTTGAAGAAAAGGATGAGCTTTAAATTCTTATATTAGAATAGAAGAAAGGCTAACAGTTGAAGAGTGAGGCCTCTGACGTAAAAAGTTAAAAAAAGAGCAATAAAAGTACACATAGATATTCTAGCATTTTTCTTACTATGGAGAGAGTACACCGAGGAAGAGAAACAAACGCTAATAGCAAATTGTTATTCAGATGTGATGTCATTAAGTGCTCATGAATGAGGGAAAAGAAAATGGGGTCATTACCTTCCAATTTCATTAAGCTCAGTATAAGCTGAATCAAAATTATCCTTCCAAGAAATGGTGGCACCATCAGCAGCAGCATCTTTGGAAGAGAGAGAATCCATTTATAATACTGAGGAAGTCATGTAAGAATAAAGAAAAGGTTAACAGGAAAGCACCCGCCTTGCCCCAAAGCAATTCTCATGACCAAATATGGAGTCTAGCGCAGTGGGAAAAGGCCAGGATTCTTTGAAATGTTGTTTTAAAAAATATCATCCAAGGGGAAACTGACATGACGGAGCAGACTCCCCCTCCCCGTGCCATCTCCATAAACAAAAGAAAACTCTGGACGATCAGAGATGCAACCTCTGGGTATTTTAAAAATAGAAATTTGGTAAAAAAAAAAAAAAAAGTTAAAAGAGAGAGAGAAAATTTCATGGAAGGCCTAGAAAAGCCAGTGAGAATCAGGGCTGGGGGGAAGGCAGCGGAGAAGGGAAGAGTTACAAGGCCCAGAGGAGGAAAGCAGAGGAATGTGCTGGAAACATCAGAACCACTGCTCTCTCACCCTGCTGTCCTCAGACATTAATGAGCCTATGTGGTGTACTGAATGATTTAGTTTAACCCAGAATACATGCCTGAGCAGAATGTTTGGTAGTATTGCCTTAAGATGTGTTAATTCTCTGGCAATAATTTAAACACACACACGCGTGTACACTCATGGGTGCATGCATGCACACCAATGTGTATTTGTGTTGTCCCTGGGGACCAAGGTTCACAAGAAGCAAAATGTGTGGCAGAAGTTAGTTGGTAGCTCTGGAGGGGAGGGCCACGCCAGCAGTGGGGCTCTTCTGACCACAGCCGGGCTGACGCTCAGGCGCCTTACCTACATTGAAGTTGGACAGAATAGAGGCCCAGGGCCAAGGTTTCCCAGTGAGTCATGGGTCCAAGGGAACAGGGCTATTGGGAGGGAGCTAACTGCCTGGGGATGCGCTGGGAAGCATTTTCAGACTCAGCTGGGGGCTGGGCTACTGCCGATGGCCCCGCGGGGTTTCTGAAGCCCCTCTGGAGACTTGGGGATTCCCTATTCCCTGAGAGACATGGGTTTCTTGCCTATTCACTGCGGTGGCCTCCTTCTCCTCTGTCCCAACACGTCCCCCGCCCTCGTGCACTGCAGAATACCTCACTACTTAGAGATTTCTTTGAGCTAGCAAGTGTCCTCTTTCAAATGTTCTAGGGACCAAGGCGGCTTGGTGAGACAGTGAATGAGGGGCCAAAATGAGAACCACATTTGTAAAATACTCATGTGTAGCTAGTTATACATATATCTTCATCATCCAACACATCCACATAAAAACGTGGCCCCTCTGAAATAAGACATTCTGGGAAGGTGGGGAGTGGGGAAACTATCAAATACTCGTACTGACTCCAATTCTTCAACCAGGTTGCTTTCCTCTCCCCGTTTTCAATTGGTGAGTGGGGCTGTGTCCGAGGCTGTGAGGCACACTTACGCCTGGCACAGATTCCCAGGGGAGAGGAGGGCTGGGGTTCCCATCTAGGAAAAGGGGCAGATAGCATCCACATGACTCATGACTCCCCCAACCCCCCGCTACTGGGCTACGGGGCATGGCTGGGACTCACCGTACTCTGGGAGTCGCACAAACTCTGAGGGCTCGCTGGGAAGGCTGATACCCCAGGGGTTACTGGCGCTGACTCGGAACTGATAAGGACTCCCCGGACTGAGGTCTTCGATGACAAGGTAAGTGTCCAAGGTCGAAGCTACCGACTGCTGCCAGGCCTGGGAACCTAGTGCACAATTTCCGAGGAGAGGGAAAGAAAATGCCAGAGGGACATTGTTTCAAAGACCTTCAGCAAACAAAGAAAGGAAAGCTGACACATTTCATTCCGGTCAAGGGGTTACAGATTGGGCTCTGAAAGCCCGTGGGCCAACGGTGGCAGGTTTGGGCTCAGTCTCCTAAATGACTGCGTATATCATGAGGGGTGCGGAAGCAGCTGGCCTGGGGCTTCTGGTCATTTCCAAATATGCATGTGTGAGAAGGAAAAGACGTAGAGCACACAGAATTGACAGAAGGGCGTGTGGCATTTCTTAATAAGGCATAAACATATATTATGAATAACAAAATGAGAGAAATTACACATTTGGAAATGGAAACAAAATAGAAGGGAACATGCACTGAGCACGCCATACATGTAATATACCGCAGGAGGCGTCTTCCCATAATTCTCCCATTTAACTTTCACACTGAAATCTCCAGAAACCCTGTGAGGTTGGGAACACGGATCTCTCACTTTATACGTGAAGAAACCAAGGCTCAGAAAGAGGAAGTGATTTTGAGAGAACTGTGTTAATAAGATGAACTATGAACCGAACAGTGCGTAGCTAAGCGCAAGCTTTGTGAGACATGTCTGCCAGCTCAGCACGAACACCTCTCTGCTGAGTGGGGGGCCCAAGAGTGAACAGCTTCAGAAAGATGCAGAAATGAACAGCTCTGTATCTGCACAGGGCCTGTGTGGTAGAAGAAAGAAGAGTTAAAATACTATGAGTAATGGTGAGGAACAGAAATGACTTAGGCTCTGGCCACAACGAGCAGTTGTTTGAAATTCAGTTCTGTAATTTTTTATGTGGTTCAGAGACGTGTTGGTAACAACTAGAGCAACCTGGCAGCTTCTCATTCAACTAATTCTTGATAGTAGGTAACAGGGTCAGGTGTTTCTAATTGCTAAACTAACACAGGCATCCTTAGCATGTAAATGTAACAAAATTTAAAAATGAACAGTTTTGGGGCGCCTGGGTGGCTCAGTCGGTTAAGCGTCTGACTTTTGCTCAGGTCATGATCTCAGGATTCGTGGGTTTGAGCCCCGCATCGGGTTCTGTGCTGGCAGCTCAGAGCCTGGAGCCTGTTTCAGATTCTGTGTCTCCCTCTCTCTCTGACACCCCCCCCCGCCCCCCCCCCCCCGCTCATGCTCTGTCTCTCTGTCTCAAAAATAAACTATAAAAAAATTTAAAAAAATAAAAATGAACAGTTTTTAAAAAATCATTATACATGTGTGTATATATATATATAATTTAGAAGGCATACAATATATATAAAATCTCTAAATTTTATCTGGGGATGGAGGTAAAGCTCTGCTCATGCTACCCTAGTTATTACTCTGGGAGAAAGGTCACAAATTAGCAAACTTGATACTGGAGTTTAATGCCAGGCCTGCCTCTTACTAACTCTTGCCTCCATGTTCCTTAATTTTCTTTAGGCCTCAGCCTCCTCATCTGTAAAATGGGCCTGACTGTCCCTGTCTGGCTGATTGGGCTTGTTAAGGACAAAAGTACATGCAAAGGCACTTTGAAACCTGCCACAGTCATCAGCCCCTGGGCGAAAGCCACTGCTGAAAGGTGGAGAGCAGGAGCCGGCTGAGGCCAGGAGCTGAGGTCTTTGTGCTGAGTTGGAAGACACAGGAAGGAACAGCTAATGAAAGGCACGAAGGCAAGTAGTTCATGACTCTGAAGGACCCCCTTTCGAGGAAGCGGAACCGAGGAAGCGAAGGAAGAAACAGAAGGGCAGGGGGAGCGAGCGCACCTTCCTCCCGGTACTCCACTGTGTAGCCAGAAATAGTGCAGTTTCCAGTGCTGGAGGGAGGCAGCCAGCGGAGGATCACGGAGGTGCAGCTTCTCTCCTGGGCAATGGGGCGGTTAGGGGCTGCCGGAACACCTTCGGGGGATGGAAATTATGGTCAAGTGCTATTTCTGCAGAACCCGGCATTTTACACCAAGGTTGAAAGTTACCTAAGACACATTACCCCGTGTTTGACCCCGTGTCTCAAATTCTTCCTAGGGCCTTTTCTACCAAGCGGCACACCTTTCTCCAGGCCCTGGGGAAGGCTGGGAGATACACTTTGGGGTTAGAACTTCTTCCTTGGGCTAAAGACTGCACACCGGAGATAGAGCTAGGCCAGGGACTATACGGGAAGTTATGGTGGGCCACAGATAGCTCTTAGCAAAGATTCCTTCTCTTCCATTTGCTAGACCTTTACCTTGGAATTGCACAATGGACCTCTTCTTCCCCAGGTGGCAGGGAACCCTTGTAATGTACACTTAAAATGTTCAATTAACACAAACTCAGAGAGAGAGAGAGAAAGGTGAATGGTGGTTGCCAGGGGCGGTGGGGAGGGGGGTTGGGGAGCTGTTGCTTAATGGACATAGAATTTAGTTCTGCAAGATGAAAAGAGTTCTAGAGATTGGTTGCACAACAATATGAATGTGCTTAACATTACAGAATGTACACTTAACATTGGTGCAGACGATCCATTTTATGCCATATGAGTTTGCCATAATAAACAATATCTTAAAAGTATAGAAAGTGCTCGACTAACAAAGAGACCGTACCTTGCACTTTAACTGTAGCAGACGTAGATGTGGTGCCATGGTCATTTGTTGCTATGCAGGTATAAATCCCACTGTCCTGGGGCATCAGATTGCAGATCTTCAGGGTGATTTCCCCAGAATCACTAGGGACACCAAAGGGATGCTCTTCAGACTCCAGTAATGAGACCATTGACTGATGGGTAAAATCCCACCGGGTGGGCACAAGGTGTGCTGAGTCGAATCCTCAGGCGCAAGGTCTCATCCCAGCTCTGTTATTTTCCTACATACCTTGGGTGATCACCTTATCTTTCTAAATTTCCATTTCTTTATGGCGGGGGGATTCTTGTCACCCCCAACTCACATGTTTGTTGTATATGGGGCATAGGGATAGAAAAGGAGTAAAACGAGATAAGAATGAGAGCATGGTTTGAAATACATAAAGTCCTATACAATATTATGAGTATTATTATCATGAGCAACTTTGTCCTAAAATATTCTTGATCTCACAGATCAATAATAAATTGTATAAGAAAACAGACTGAAGAATTAAAATGTTTAAATATTTCAAATCCTACATGTGGGACCCTCAAACCAATGAAGTGAATTAAGTAAAGGGCAAATTCCTCTACTAAATGCTAACTTTCCCAATAGTCCTGGTCAGGAGGGACAGCACTGCTCAGGAATAGTGAAACGCAGCAGTCATGGTCAACCCACTCCCTCCCTCCAGCTGAGACACACGGAGTCTGCTGGTCCCAGGACCCTCCCCACACACTGGCTCTTACCCTAAATTCCTTGGGCCCACTAATCTTAGGACTGGGCCAGCCCTGGCCATCTTTGCCAAATGGAATACCATTTCATGTGCACAAAAATTGAGTTAATAGATAGGAGTTTGATTCTAAATGATTCTTTGATAAATGTTTAAGCACTTAGGGCTTGTTACCGCGTGTCCACTGTAAGGGCAGTACACAATAAAGTTCATCATCAAGGCAACACATACGAACACAATGATTGGGAGGCTGCCAACCAAGTTTTGTTAAATAGCTTTGCTGTGTGGAAGCTTGTTTATGGCTAGATTTTCTGTTTAGCATTGCATATTTTGGATCAAGTCTTTTTCTTCTTCTTCAAAAATTATCCTTAGGTTAATTAATGGAGGAACTGTTTCACAGGACTCTGAGGAGCACTAAGAACAGTGGGATGTTGCGATGGGAGACCCACATTCCTTCCACAAATCTGGAGCCTTCGCCATTTCCACTATCATAGAGATTCTCTTAGGGAACCTTCCAGGAAAGATCAACTGGGTGAATGTAAGTCAGTGACTGTCAAAGCTCTTCGAAGGTATAGTTTATGCTTGACTTGAGATATAAAGTTTTACGTTTTAATTTATTGAATGTGGGTTCAGAATGCAGTCTTTCAAAACCGTTCTCATTTGTTAAGCCAAGCCTATGTGATGCTGAGCCTCATGGGGCGATGTGCTGGCCATCAGCCAGGTGTTTGGCAGGCTCCGTGGCAGGTGGCAGTGAGCTGTGGAGGCCACGCTTAAACCTCCTGGCCCTGGGTACACTGTCTTGGGGGAGCACGATCGCGAGGGCCCACTTCCCTGAGCCACCCGTGGTTTTCGACTCAATTTCTCTCCTAATCAAGGCCAAGTGTTTGTGTTAGAATAGGACCCAGGGCAGGTGTTCTCTTGGAGAGACTAAGTAACCAGAACAGAAGCTGCACCCAGGTTCTGGGAGTGTCAATGCAGGGTGATCAGCTTACCAGGAGGAGACGGTGTATGAGGCCGAGCTGTTGTCGGTGTCAAGGATGTTCTGGTCTGGTCCCTTCCAAGTGATGGTGGGCTTCGGCCGCCCACAGACTTTGCACTGCAATGTCACCGTGTCCCCAAGCAAGCAGGTCACATCCACTAAGGGCACAAGGAATTCTGGGGCCACTGTGGTCAAATTGACATAAATTCACATCATTTGGAACAAATAGAATATGCAGCCATTTTACAACACAACCCTCTCATTCCCTAGCCATGTGTTATGATTCAAAGAATCTTTGGCTTAATATTGTCCAATCATCCATATCCCATTAACAAATATTTTAAAAGTAATAAATGTTTATTGTAGAAAATTAGGAAGTACGGATAAATAGAAAGAATGAAAAGCTCCATGATATCCTGATACAGACGTAACTACTGTGAGCATCTTGGTGTATATACTTTTGGTTTTAATCAATACACTTTTTCTTACACAAATTATACATATGGTAAGTTGTGGTCTTTTCCACCTCAACAGTTTATCCTAAGCACCTTTTCTCATCCACTGCACAGAACGATGTCACCAATATTTACAGCTGCTACCTCATTGCCAGATTTGTCACAGTTTATTTAGCCAATCTCCGTGTTCCCAATTCTACTTTTTAACTCACCTTCTTGGATGAAATTTGGATTTAAGATCTGAAAAACACAAAGAGACAGAAAACTGCTTAAATCCTAAACTACTGAAAGAGAACAGGAGACTTTGACCCTGTTTAGTAAAAACGAAGTACCATTTAGGGAGATGAAGCCAGGGGCCCAGCCTCCACTATTTGTGACCATATCACTATTGCAATAACAACCCAGGGCACCTGCCTTACTATCCTCTCTACTCTGCTGCATGTGCCTCTGGGTGACCCAGGGGCCCAAGCAGGTGTATCGTGACTGCAAAAGCTCTTCTGGCTGCAGCTGGCCTTTCTCACCTGCATTTGACTTGCTCGTTTGCTCTTCCTCCCTGTCACATGCATAAAAGCCATTCTCCCTGCCTGCCCCCGCTTCAATATGCACTCAAGCAATGTGTTGGCACGGATTCCTCTCAGCATCACAAATTTTCAAAAACAGAGCACCTGACATTTATCAAACTGGAATGGTCATTGACGTTAACTACTAACCATTAGCCTAATGGTTTCCTTCCAAATGCAAATAGGAGATAGTTCTCTCCAAGCAGCTAAATGCAGAGCTTGTCTCAGTGAAGGGGAAAGGGAAGCCATACCCATCTCCATCCTGTCCCCAGCATGGCTTCCCGTAGCCCAAGCCTCCATAGGCCAAATTGAAAAGCACTGAGCTAGAGGTTCTGACCCTTTTTTGCTGCTTAGGTGAGAAACCCGGACTTAGGCCTACTAAGTGACTTGTCCAGTCACATGGCTGGCTGGCACAGGCACTGTGGGGTTGGGGTGGGGGGGGCTCTTTACATACACCATAAAGGCTTCCTTGTGACCCCATGGATCTTCACAGAAGATCGACTTCCAGCCAACTAGCCATGCTGAAAAAGTCACCACTTTTTGATTTTTCTGCCATCTTTTGTTTTACCTCTAATCATGTGGGTCCAGGTTATAAAGCTTGGCGGGGTGAGCGAAACATGGGTTTTCAAGTCAGAGAGGCTGGGGCTCACGTCTTTTGTTTCATGTGATTTTATGCTAATTGTTGAAGATTTATGACCTCAATTTCCTTCCCTATAAAATGGGGATAAATAATACCTACTGAAAAAGGGTTACTGCAAAGATTAGATGAGCAATATATGTCAAGTGCTTAGCACAGTGCTAGACCAATAACAAGTATTCAATGACTACTTAAGTGGAGAACGAGTATCTAATTCTAAATATCCTCCTTCTGCAAAGCAGCCTATTGCTGTATACTCTTCTAAGAGTTTGTTGTAAAAGTCTTCTTTCCTTCATAATGAAGCCAGACAGCTCACGTGTCTTATAAATGGCTCCCTGGGGCATTCATACTTATCTCCCTGTATTTATGAACACGTGTCATAAGCGAACATGGTTTCTGCCCTTCCTTTATACAGGATCCACAGGGGCCCTTTGGAACAAAAATGCTACTTCCCCCTTTGGATTCCGCTTTGCAAACCAATTGTCCACATACACTACCCAGCGTTTTCATGAAGTGAGCTGCAGACAACTCTTGCAATGCTATGTCCTGGGGCTGAGTGCCTTGAGACTGGCCACTGCAGTGTCCTCTGCTAGTCTCAAGAGGCCACTATACCACCATCCGGACTGCCTTTAAATCAGTGGTTCATAATCTTTAACCCTGGCAGTTTTAGTAACACAGAAAGACCAGTGCCTGGGCTTCAGTCCTGGCGATTCTCTTAAGTGATGTGAAGCGGGGCCGGGCACCCAGAGTTTTGAAAGCTGTGGCAGGTGAATCAACGTATAGCTTGGTTGGAGGAAAGGTGCTCTGTCCAAGGGAACCGGGCTCAGGTAAACCAACTCCCCACCCCCTGAGGCTCTTCTGGGGTGGTGCAGGGGTAGGTGGGGGCATTTGGTGGGAGCTGCTTTTCCCACACCTGAGAGACCCCTGCTTTGTGGGGAGATGTGAGGGGGGACCGCGAGGGGTGCAGCCAGGGAACGCGGGAGGGCGGCAGCATGTCACTTTCAACCATGCTAAGGAGGCCACAGAGGCCACCTGGTTTAGGGGGGACAGAGAGAATGATGCCTGCACTTGTCACTGCACAAAGAAGACAAGGACTATTTTCTAAATGTTATCAGGGTTTATCACAAGGCATTGCGATCAAGGATGGCTTTTCCCCGTTCAGAAAATTATGGTCTCCTCCTCTAGGCTGGTGCAAGCTTTTATGGATACAGAGGTGCCAGGATGGAGGCCCTACCCTCGGGAGTCAGAAAGTGTTTCAATGTGTAGTGATGTTTTTCCTTTGGCTTCTGACCTAGGCTTTCCAAATATTCTGCAATTGGTACTTTTCACTTCTGCAATTTTTTTTTTTTTTTTAAAGGAGGGGGCACAGTCAGATCCACTAGACTGTAGGTTCTTTAAGGCCAGGGGCCCCTTATTCTTCTTGGACCTCAGGCCCCTCGCCTGGGTTCTGCTGTGAAATGGGCATTTAATACATGCTACTTGAATGACTATTTGACCTGTCTTCATTTCAGTTCTTCTGAGAATTGAGGGCTGGTTCCAAGAATTGAGGCACTAGGTCCATACAATCTATAAAATAATTACTTCAGGGTATATTACTAAGAATATTTGACTAGGGCCTGTTTTTAAACACAGACGGGATGCAAGCTTTTTGGAAAATGATTTAAAAACAATAAAATCCACTGCTTCAGCGAGAGGAGGGTCTTAGTGGCGTTCCATGCGGGGCGGAATATAAACTCCAGGAGCGAACTGAGCTCATAGTGTCCCGCCCCCAAGCCAGACGTGCTCTCTTGCCTTGGACAACATTCTTAAGCAGCTTAGGCCTCAATTTTAGCTGGAACTTGGGGCTAACGGTGCCCACCTGGAAGCTTGTTTGACACAAGGATTCATTTGCTGGATGAAGATTTATCGAGCCCGCCCTTGGTTGTGGCCAGCAGGGAGCAAGCAGACATGCTCACCACCCTCATTGGGCCAAAATTGTCTGGTGGGGAAGGTGGACTTGAGAGGCCTCTGCACGGCATCCAGGATAGTGCCTGGCTGCCGTTAACGCCCAGCCTTCAACAGAAACGGAGCACCGCCTTCTCCCTCGTCCCGCCTCCCCTGTCAGGGTAGAAATGATATGGGAAGGCGGCCAGCTTTGTCCAGTGGCCTGTATTTCCCATTCCAGTGGGAATCCACAAGGGAGTAAGTGCTCGCCAAGAGTGCCAGAGAGGAAACAAATGACACTTGGAAGGGGCAAATGGCACTTTCCCACATCATAACATTTTAAGTGGGGTTTCATAGCCCTGCACCGTGGCAGTACTTCTATAAAACAGCACCCAAATCACTGCTTCGGAAATTTCCCGCCTTATTCCTTTTTCTCATCAATACCAACTGCGTTTAGTATATTGCTAAACACATGCACTGTTTAAAAAGTAAATCTTCCGAGTTTGGAGACAAACTTTGGTGGGGAAATTGGGGAGAAAGGTTGCCAACAAGGCTTCCTTGCAGGTTCTCTATGGAAGCTTGTGGAAGGCATCGGTTTTCATTCCTTTCCCTCTTGGGCGGCCCAAGTGTTGCTCATAATGGTAATAACATCAGTGACTTGTGTAGCATTATATAGTTGGCATAAACTACTCACAAACTCCTTCATTTGCTCATCCAAAACTCTGGGGGGATGTGCCAAGCAGGTGTTATTTGTTCCCATTTCCAGATGAGACAGGGAAGTGCATGTACGGTCATAGAAGGCTCCTTCCACCATAGCATTCCATGTGCAGGCAAGGTCTTGGGAAAAGCATTGTGACGCTTTGTCATTGATGTCAAAGGCCTCCCTGCTTACCTCACCTTTGCTCCCTCACCTTGCTCTCTATCCCATTTCTATCTAGTACTCCCATTTAAACTCCTCTGGCAAGGACCACAAGCCTGGCTGAAACCCATGCTAATGCTTTTTCTAACTTTGACTCTGGATTACACCCATAGAAGATTCCTGCCTCCTTTTCCCTCTTTCTGCTTTGAAGCAAGGTGCAGTATGGACAGCTGCAGTATGGAGGGTCATGACAGCCTTCTCGCAGGGTAGCCGAACAGCCTATGTGTTTGTCTGTGGCTCCCTGTGGACTGCAAGGCCCATGTAGGCAAGAACCTTGTTCACCGTTGTTGCTTCAAAGCCTAAAACAATACCTGGCACATAAGGGCTCCATTGATATTTGTCAAATCTAAATAAATAAATAAAGTGGTAGGATCCTAATTTTGGGGAGGAACATTGAGAAAATGTCTTGCCATGAACTTGGAGTGGAATGTGACTTGCTTGGGAACCTCATCAGTCAGTCCTTGACTGAAATTTAGGCAACAGTGATCTTTTCCTCCTCCCTGCTCTTCCAGAGGCTGGTACATATGGTCACATGCGTTTGTCTGTCATGACATCTTCCCTGCATGCTATTATCCTACCAGCCTCATGAACCCTTTGAAGACAGTAGCACATAGCATCTTGCACATAGTGGAAGATCAAATATTTGCTGAAGCAAATTAACTCACCCAATTAGTAGACTAGAATTTAGGCCTCCTGACCACCTTGTCTAAGGTGTTAGAGACCTGAGGAAGTATCAGTCCCTGGGGCCAGAAGGGTTCATCATAAGCTACACATATTTCTTGAAACCTCTTGTTTTCTTTCCTTGGAAACAATTTGAGAGTCCACGGAGAGTGGTAGATGGGAAACAGGAGAGAATGAGAATCGAGATGGATGTGATAGCGGAGGAAGATGATACTATTGTATACACTGCACATGTTTTCTCTCTGGGAGACCCAAACCCAAGAGGGCAAGGCTCGTATAGACAGCGTGGGAAAGAGCTGCTTGGGAATCTGGTTTTATTTGACCAGCAGAGGGCGGCAGATGGTAGCACTTCCTCCTCAGGGAGAAAAGAACCACCACAATGTGGTCCACGGGCACCCCAGTTTCTTCCTTCCAGAGAGAATTCCAGTGTTTTCTTTGAGATGGGAGGGCAGCAAGGTAATGGGAAAGAGTTATAGGTAAAATCAACCAGCACTGAATAAGAAGCTGAGTTTTGAAGAGA